GAAATTACTGGTTTACTTAAAACCACAACAGTGGGAGGTAAATTTGGTTGTTTTTCTGTGACAGTGGTGTTTCCAGAGCTGAAGCCTTGTAGACACTCATCCCAAAGTACCATGAGCCCAAGGTCTTCAACAGAAGTCTTCTCCTGTTGATGTACAACCGACATTCATTTACCACACAAGCACATTCCAATGTGTTTCCTTCACATAAACTCTTTGGGATATTGATCAGAACTACTTAGAATAAGTACCAGCATGATTTCTGAAGCAGTTTTCTAGAGTTTACAAATACCACAGTGTTGACTGTTTACACATTCTGTCTTCTGCTGTCACTGTAAGCCATGAATGCAAAAGGCCTGGTCAACCAGCAAACAAAGGATACAGACTGGAGAAGTGCCAGGGAAATGAAAAGGTTTTATATTCTTTGCAAGAACATTTGAGTCATTTGGCCTACTAAAGTGTTTGAGGTGCATTCACTGTTGATTGCATTTGTTTTCCAGGCTCACTGCCACTACATTGCAGTGAAAAACTTTGCAGAAACTGTGGAAAAACTCGAGACCAAGGCTGGCATCCAGAAGATTATGAAACATCTCTGTGACCTCTTTGCACTACACGGGATCTTCTCAAATTCAGGGGCCTTCTTGCATGATGGATACACATCTGCAGCTCAAATGGACATGGTCACAGCATCCTACCTGGACCTCCTGGCTGTCATTCGGTGAGCTGCTTTGGCAGGACACACACAGCTATCCAGTTTAGATATAAAAGGGTGCTAGATATAAAACGGGGCTGCTGTACCTATGGCAACATCTCCACAGTCAATTCACCTCATTCAGTTTTTATTTCCATTGCCTGGCAGTTCTGGAAAATGATTGAAACATCTTCTCAGAGCTTGTTTTCATGGCAAAACAGACCCAAGTGTCCAGCTCCTCTGCAATCTCTAAAGTTCTGTAACATGAAGTCTTAAATTATAAATGAAGAAGTAATGAACACTTTATACCATCTGGAGCAGAGTGAAAGCAGGAAAATATGTAGTCAGAGCACACTGGCAGGAGGCAGCCACAGCAACCCATCACACATTGCAAAATCTCCTTAAGCCACAGCTAATGCAGCCTACTCTGTTGCCATGGCTGAGCTGCAACTGGTACCCAAACAATCCTGCCTACAGCTACTTCAGATGCATCTGCTAACACCATTTATTATCAGCTCTGTGAGTTCTGAGTTAAGGTGTTCACTTACTACAACACTCACAGAGGCTTTTTGACAAAGGGTTCAGCTTTCACTACTCAGAGCTGTTTGTTTAGAACATAGTAACTTACTGTGAAGAGGAGTTGCTACTGTATCTAAAATTTACCTAAGCCACCAAGAGAGAAACAAGAACATACTATAAGCAAGGGCTGAACAGGGCTGAGCCAAACAGCAAGGGGTTTCAGAACTGATTGACAGAATCTGCATTAAGTGATAAGTGTAACATAACATTTTCAAAAGCCTAACATGTTGTCTTTGGAATTCATTGCAATTTCTGTGTTAGTCCATGTCTTGTTAACAGAATTCAAGAATGGAGTATTTACATATTTACAGTTAATAGAAAGAATATAACCACTTCCTAGTCTGTAGCAAAAACCCAGCCTTTCCCAAACCCTCAGACAGCTCTTCCCCAAAAGGAACTGGAAGATAGAAATGCTGACATTTGAGCAAACCACTTTGCATCCTGGTACCTCAAATGTGAGGTACAGCCAGCACAACCTCCTACACCCAGGATGATGGAAGGATGAGGAAAAAGAAACAATCTCCTGCTTAGGAGATGCTGCCTGTGCTCTGGCCCTCCATGCTGTCACACTGGCCCCTTGACTAGATGGGCCCTTGGATGGGTCAGGGTTGTTTTGCTCTTACAGACATGAATAGAAAAGCTGAGCACCTCATGATGAGATAATAGAAATACTGAAAGGTGGATGAAGGTTGAAGATCAGCAAAGCAACTTCACATCAATCTAGTAGGAACCTTATTCCATTTAATAAGACACACATACAGCATAACAAAAATAAAACAAAGAAAGACAAAAATCAAAAGAACAAACTGGCAGAGACTACTGAGAAAAAATCTGACACGAGTCCTGAATTAGTGGTGGAGCCCAGGTGATGAAGCCAGGGTGAAGACCCTGCAAACACCCACTCAGCAGTGCAGGCAACTCAGGGCATTAGTAGAACATCACAGAATCACAAAATTATTACAGTTGAAAAGGACCTCTGGAGATCATCTAGTCCAATCTCCCTGCCAAGGCAGGGTCACCTAGAGATGTCTCTGAGGAATCAGAACAAGCAGGATTTTCCACCCACCCAGTAAAGATGAGGATGAGGCACAAGCTTTCCAGGAGAAACCTGGAAACTGCCAAGTTTATCTTTGATTTATTTTCCCATCTTGCAAAGCAGTACCCTCTCAGTAACAGGAATGCCACTCCTGTGCTCTGTAGGAAGGATGCTGTGCCACTGGTGGACGCTTTTGACTTCACGGACCAGAGCCTGAACTCTGCTCTCGGCAGCTACGACGGGCAGGTTTACCAGCGGCTCTACGAGTGGGCTCAGAAGTCACCCACAAACCAGGTAGGGATGAATCACACCTGGGCAACCTCCACAGCAGCCAGGGCAGAAAGTGCTTTTCTTCTAAGAAAAGCAGTACAGATACAAGAGCTTTTAATTTCTCTTTGTAATTAAGAGCTTTTAATTCCTCTTTGTATCACATTGTACAGAATAAGCTAAAATAAAAGTCTGTTTACATATTATGGAGCAGCACTAAATGCAGGGTCTTTTCTATACACTAATGCTTCTACTAGTGCAAAACTTGGGCTTTTAAATATGTTTAACCAGAAAGAGTGTAAGTGTTAAACGAGGCAATTTGATCCCTCATGGTCTTTAGCGCTTTGTTTTCTCAATTCATACATACTGTGGAGTAATGTAAAAATTTTGTGTGACATAAATATGTATTGCTCTGTTTGAAAACTCATTTGGCCTTGAGTGAGATTTTTACTGTGGTAATCGGTATCCCTTTGAAATTCTACAGTTGAACACAAAAGTTGCCTTCAGCAAACATTCAAGTCCAAGCATATTTTCTGAGGTTAAATAGTACGCTGTCCCCTTTGGGATGAGTGTGGCGTGCTGGCGATGAAGGACAGCATGTATTATAGGGAAAAAAAGTCTTGCACATAGCTGAAGTAGCTGCTGGTTTGTTGGTTGTTTTTTTTTTTCTTAAGTAGTGCAGCTTTATGTATTTCAGAGACTGTTCTTAAGAAAAAAAAATAGCCTTTCCCTTCTTAATTGCCATTAATTCCCTTCCACATTCTCTTTCTGAACAGATGAGCCCAGCCTACGAGAGGTATTTGAAGCCACTTCTGCACAACACGCTATCGAAATTATGAAGAACATGTTCAAAGTGAAGGGCAACATTTCCTCCTGTTCTTTGTGCAGCAGTACATTTATGAAACATCAGTAATGACTAATCAGAATTAATAATCAGTTGCTTACTTGCAGTTACAACAAGTATGAAAGATTCTCAGCCAGCCATTTGCAATTAGACAGATGCCAACAGCGCTGAGTGGTACCTGCTGCTGTGAGACAATCTAGTCAGGAATGGTCCAGGGTTCACTGTTTTCCATCCTGAAGTGTCTTGACAACATCAAAACTCTCTCATTTGACTTTCTTATTCTCTTTCTAAATCCACTATATGATGATTAAGGGGAAGAAAAACCACCACCACACTGTGAACCCTCTCTCAGTGTGCTGTAACTATGTAGTGCCTTCAAAAAACCCAAAACAACCAACTTTACTAAAAAATCCATGATTATTTGTTTTTAGGAACAAGTAGTTCTCTTCAATCAGAAAGCATATTAACAAGTGCATCTGTTTTGACAATTAAAATAGCTCTTGATTTGCTCAGTACTGGAATATTCCTGCCTAATGAAGATGCAGACAAAGCTGATGCCGGCTCCAGTCTGCAGAATTTACCTTCCCATTAATAGGCTGCTCCTTTCTATAAATCTTGAGCTCCAATAAAGTGTATTATTTGGAATACTGCTTCTCTAATTATTATTCTTCATAATTATGGAAAGGGCAAGCTGATCCAGGCCAGTCATTAATTTGCTCATAAATGAAGTGTTGCAAAGAACATCTTGTGATTATAATTCAATGCCAGTTAACACGAATATTTCTTACCATGTGTTGTAAGAAAGAAACAACTTTTCCTGAGCTTCATCAGTTCTGCTTCTCTTTCCTCCTTGATAGCAAGAAAAAAATCTCTCACTGCTGCCTCTTATTGCATAAGTCAAAAACCTGCAATGTATGAACAGGAAGAGACAAAATATGACAGAGAATTACCCCCCAAGACAGCCTTTCGAGCCAGATATGGGATGGAAAGCCTCCCACTTACTTGGGACAAGAACTTCATGGGAGAACAGGATCTACTCCATGAAACAGATACCAACTCCCTTTACTCCCAGCTGCAATCAAGTTAGATCATAACCAGAAATTCTACTAATAACTATGACAAAAGGACCAGGATAAGTACAAATGTCTGTATGAAATTAAGTAAAGCCACAGAATTTGAGTGCCTTGACTTCACTAGAAAAAGCATTCAGCAGTTGGAATTTATATATATAAAATACTGCATAAAGTGCTGACAAACCAGACAACTCTATTAGCAGCTACAAGTATTTAGGCTCTGTGTTCCCTCCATCCCTACCCCTTTAGCCAGTACAAATATTTGCCATCTTTCTATCAAACTAAAGCAGTTTTCAGAACACAAGCTTTGTTTATAATGACATTTTAATGAACTGATTAACATAAAAAGGAACAAATTACACCATTAATTGAAGAAACCAGGGCCCTACCAGAACGCCCAAACTACTCCGCAGCACAAAAACCAGGATTTGAGTGGGAGGTTTTTTGTTTGGTTGGGTTTGGCTTTTTTAAGTATGAAAATTCTAAAAGACAAAGAGAAAATACTAAACAGTATTTTGTATTTCACATTTTTATTAGCTTCTTCTGGCAGGCATTACACTTGGGAATAATATTGCACCAGGCATTAAAAATATGAATTCTACCACAGGGACATTTTGCATTTAGAATCCAATATAAATATTTGTAATCATATTTCCATGGCTACAGATAATATTTGGTTGCTTGATTTATATGCATAGAAAGAAACAGTTGTCATAACTGTAAGAAACTGTACTTATCAAGTACTTTTAAAGGGTGGGATTTGTTTTCCTAGGATATTACAATACTGTTTATTGATTTAGAAACTAAATTAGTCTACACAATAGCAGCTTCTCCCCAACTGCATTTTAAAATCTTTTTTGTTTCTTGCTCCCAGTGTCATAGCATTAGATGAATTAGAAACCATTTAAACGAGAGGTAATTTTAGCACTTTGAGTTGAGTCAGAGAATTGTGTTAATGACACAAAATACCCTATTGTACTGATTCTTCGGACTCCCTCTTTCAAACAAAAAGGTGTCTTGACTGAACAGGCACATGCACGGTTTTTTTTCTGAACTGGACAAAAGAACAGTGCTGCTAGAGAATGGAACTCCTCCAGTCCTCACTGATAAACAATAAATAGTCGTATAAAAAAAGCCCATATTGTTGCTTTAGTCAAAATCCAGACTCTCTTGGGTTCACTGTCCAATTAAGTTGCTAATCACTGAAGTGGCTCCTGTGGAGTCAGAATCAGTCATCTGTTTTCCGTGCCAGTCTACAGAAAGTCCAGTTGTGTTCCACTGTGTTTTCGTTGGCACGCTCGCTCATGTGATGGACTCTGGTGTTCCTGATCGTGAAGCCCTGCTTTGTGATGTACTCCATGAGATGGACTCGCAGCGACACTTCCTGGTGGTAATCACACGGGCCAAAGGTGAAGGACACCTGGCAGTCCCTGGTGTCCATCATGTGCTTATTCCACTTGGTGAAGTGGTTTGAAATGCCTTCCAGTAGTGCATGGACTTTCGTCGTGATGGTGAGCTGCGTGATGATCACAGCCACTGGGTTGGAGTACTTGGAAAGCTTCCGGGTGCTGGACAGCTCCACCACCTCCTCAAAGGTATCCACAGGATACAGCGGCTTGGGGTCATTAAGACACTGAATTAAGGGTTCAATCTGATAGAAGTCTGCTTCCTTCCGGAGCAGGTCAAACTCCTTGAAGTCCAGTGGCAAAGTGAGCTCTGAGGTCCTTAAAAAGTTAAGAACATAACGGAAAAGTGGTCCATCTCTGTCAATAAAGTAATTGCCCTGAGAGTCCCTGGCAGTGGGGAAGTCTCCCCTGAACATGGCCCCGAGCATTGAGTCAGGATATCTCGTTAGAGTTGTGAGGGAGGTCGTATACATGTGTCCACCCACATTTAGCGTGACTGGATCAGTCATCTAGAAAGAGAGAAATTGCAGAGTTTATCAAGCCCCAACAAGAAGATTCGATCACCTTGCTGACACACACGGCAAATACTGCTGGAAAACTGGGGGGAAATCACACTTCTGTTCAACGCCTCTATTTGTTCAAACCTGAACAAATCCAAGCCACCTAGCAACAAGGCACAACTGGCAACTAGACAGGATGATACTTAGCATGCAGAATGCACATTTCCAGAATGCTTTAGAAATCTTAACAACTGAGCTACTGTCGCAGGATCAAGTTTAGCATTCGGGCAGCAAGTTTTTTCCTATTCTACAGATGGGGAAATGAGAACAGAGAAATTTCCTGAAGAACAAGTTAGTCAGAATGAGGACCGGCAATGTTCCTTACTTTCACAATCTGGCTCTCATTCTAGAACAAAATCAAAACCAAAAAAACGGGGGAAAAAAAAAAGCCAAACAAACATTAAGCCTCTTTTCATCCCTCAAAAGAGGAAGACAGTTCAGGTTTAAACATAGGGGACCAAGAGCTCACAATCAAAATAATCCACACTTTGGCTCAGAGGCTTTGTTAAAACAGGCAAGGGAGAAAAAGAACTTTCAGCTTTTAACTCTAAAAAGAAATATTTATTAACAAATTAGCATGCTGCATAGAAGTGGGGAGCAGAGCACAAACCAGTCTGCATCAGATTCCAGATAGCACATGAGGAAGCAAGAGAGAAAGGAACATAAATCCCATCTGGCCACCAACTCTAAAAACCAGGACTGCAGCCAGCCAGAAAAAAGAGACATATGCATGGCAGCAGAATGAGAAGGGGAGAAAAATAAGATGTGCTTGTCTAGTTTGACACAAGATTTACAAGAAAAAATACTTTTCTCAATAAATAAAATGACAAAAATCCTTAAAATAATAAGCAAAAAGCATGAACTATTTTCAGCATTTTTGTTAGGAAAACGGTAACAGGGAGCTCAAGGCATCAGTTCAGTCCTGGCTGATAGTCCCTAGCAAATGTGAACCTGGGCACTCCCCACAAATTGCACAGGAGCTGCAGCACTCCAGGGAAGGTGTTGTAAAGCTATTTTAACAGGCATAGTTTTCCTTCTCTCACAACTGAAACTCAATCTACAGAAGGCAGATGTGGAAGGATTCTTGCTGCAAGACTTTGGAAGCCCAGTTGTAGTGCACAGTGCACACTTGCACTCACCATATATCCCCAGTCTCCATTATCCATCTGTTCACGTGCTTGAGCTGTGGTATTCCAAGTTTAACAGAAGGCTGCTGAAAGGATACACAATTCCTCTCCTCTTATCTTCCTGCAGGAAAAAGCACACACAAACACAGAACAAAACATAGCAAACCATCAGTACCTACAAGAACACCAAGAGGAATGCTTTCCAATCAAAGACAGGCTCTCTGCCAGGAAAACATTCAGCTACAAAGTCACACTAGCAGGAGAATCTGCAAACCCTCTTTTCCCTCCTTCTCCCATCACATTACCTACAGGACCGTCTCTGGAGCACACATAACCACTCCACTGAACATCCCAGTTTTCTTGAAAAACAAGCAGTGTGCCTCTGAGGGCAATATGCATTCACAAGCAACCTTTCACCTGGGAAACTGTGAGTACTTTGAAAGACAGATGCCATTTTCCCAATTAAGAAAGTTTATTTAGCCACCTCTGAGGTCACACAAGTGATCCGTTAATATGAGTCAACATTCCCATGCTCCAGTTTCAAACTGCTCAGAAAAATAAATTGAGTATGAAAGTCAATGAACACTAAAAAGAAAAAACCCTCACTGCAGAATTAATAATTCAGTAGTGGAGAACTGCAACTGATAGCAAGAACATTAATCTACAGACAAAGAGTATGAAAGGACTTCCCAGACACCTACTCTCAAAAGCAATCTCTGTAGGGACAAGCCAGAGGACATCTAACATGCTGTCAACACACTCCAACAAAAGCAATTTGAGAAGAGATTCATGCTGTGACTTCCCAGCAGATGCTGAACTGTTGACTTGCATAACAAGGGGACTGTCCAACAGGAGCACAAAGCAAATCCACAGCCAGGCTGGCAGCTTAAGAAGGGGGAAGTGAATGACCTCAGACTCCAGTGTTGATTTGCCAAAGGTGGCCTGTCAACCTTGTCAAGCGATGGAAGGACAGGGAAGCGAGTTGTCAGTAAGCCTTTATCCCTACCCAGAGCCTGCCTCTCTGCTAGAATTGCTGAAAATTTAGGTCAGCCTGTTTTAAGTAGGGTAGAGCTTCTCAGCTTTGTTTATTTTTACATCTTAAAAGACCACACAGTTCCCAAGACTTCTGGTCCCATCCTCTTTACTAACAAACTTCAGTATACAGCCACCCAGCTAAAGACAGCACAAAGATTTAGCCAAGCCAGAGCCCCACATTCCAAAACAACTGAATGTTCACACTTAATTCCCAAACAAAAAAAGATAACTTGCCCTTCTCATTCCTAGGAAATGAGGTTGGTTTCATTCACCACAGAAGAAGGCAGCACATCCCACCTCTCTGTGCCCTGCTGCCCTGCCCAAATCCACAGCCTGGGCAAAACAGTGCCCAGCAGGTCAGGTCTTTGGGACCCAGCAGCACAAGCACAGCCCCAGCTGCATCTCAGGTGGATTAAAGAGTAAAAAAAACAAAATCAGTATATGAAAATAGTGAGGTCAGACAACACAAGACTAAGGAATACTAAGGTACAGAACAAGTCATACCAGGATCCTATTTTTACAAATTAGAGACAGAATATGCCTCAAGAGAGTACATTAAAGCACATCCCCCTACAGCAGATAAACCTGGAACGCCAGCTCTTTTGCCAACCTCTGTAATTATTTTTTTTAACTCCTCAAAAATCAAGAAGTGAATTCTTTCAGGGTTTTGCTGTTTGATTTTTCATTTTGTTTTGTTTTTTGGGTTTGGGCTTTTTTATTTGTTTGTTTGGAGGGTGTTTTTTTTTTTGGTTTGGTTTTGGTTTTTGGGGTTTTTTTTTTTTGAATTGTCACTCAAGTATAGTTTGTAAACTTTTAGCAATAAACCAGACCTTTTAAATTCTAGGACTTGAATGTGTTATCCTGATCAAGTACAAGATGAGGATAACATGTAGATGCATTAAAACCATATGAGACTGTACAGGTTTCTGATAATCACTTGAAAGTGAAATGATGCAGCCAGCCAGAAACCTCACCAGTAATCATGACAGAAGAGATCTGCAGTCTTAATAAAATTAACTCAAATTACACATCCAGAATACTTCAAAGGCAGAGATGTCCATCACTGTTATTTTAACTAGTGAATATGATGTTATTTTGGTCAGCATGTAAGTCCACTACAGATGAATCAAGACTTCATCAGGGAAAGAGAGAGCCACTGCAAGCCAGTGCAAAGGCATGCTTTAGTCTTTGATCACAGCATTGCTGTGTAACACTGGAGTAAAAAATTTACAAGAGCAATCATCTGAAACAAACCTAGCCCTCAACACAGAAGGGGCATGGAGAAATCTCTGTGACCATTGTGTAAGGACCCAGAACCACAAGGCACACACAGACCTCCCTGGCAAACCAGTGCTGGAGCAAGATGTGCCACACAAAAAGATGATACCAGGAGGTCATCCTAAAATGCCCGAGTGTGGTCCCAACTCTTCACTACTTTCTTTATCAGCCTGGGAGCTCTGAATTTCTAGACAACTTCAGAGGTGAAAATAGCTTAGTTTGGGGACAACCTGAGCTAAGGACTCACCAACCACATCACAGCAAGGCTGAGGATGGATACCCCATAACAAGTACCCTTTCAATGATGCTTTAAATCCTCCTGAATGGGATACAGTGATCCTCAGTGGGGGTGGGCAGACACTCCATCCATCCTCCAGCACAGGCAGCCTCAAGCCAGCTCTGTCCTTGTGTCACACACCAATGGACTGCATGCAGGGACAAGCTTGCTAACACAGCTACTCCTGTCCAGACAGCAAATTACAGATGACACAGTCATATCCCAAGGCAGCCTACATTTGATAACCACAAAAAATATTTAAAGTGAAATTCAGTCAAACAAACTGCTGACACAGCTCAGCCAAGTGGGATGTCTCTCTCTGGTGGGAGCAGAAGTGCACAGATGGTGTCAAACCACAGTCCTGCTGTCGTGACACTGCTCTGCGTGCAGGGAGAGGACACACAGCAGTGACACGGTCACTGGGGCTCCTGCCACAGCCCAGCACAGCCAGAACTGGAATGGCACAGTGAGAAGCAAGAAAAGCACTCAGGTCATCACTTTATACCCGACACACCAAACTGGATACCTGCATTTATAAAACACTCACTCTTATTTCATGTTATGACTCAGAGGATTACAAGGCTGTTTATCAGCAACACTGCTGCAACAGGTAGTGCCACTAACTCCAGCAGGGCTTCTCCCAGAACAGAGCTGCAAACCAGTTTGCAAGCTGAAATTCAAAGAAAGCATTTAAGAGTCAGATGAACGTCTGCATCTGTGAAAACACACACAGACACACACAGACACTCAGGCCAGGCCAGGGGATGCCAGCAGCCCTGCCAGGCATTCCCACTGCTGGGACTACAGGCTACCAGCACTCCTGGAGGGACCCTTGCAATGGTGCAACATGCAGTTACTCAGAGGAGGAGCAGAAATACACCAAGCTGTTCTAAGTCAAGAGGCACAGACCACCTGATTTGCTCTGGATGTTCTTCATCTAGTTCTTTAAACAAAAGAATTAAGGGATTTACATCTTTCATGGGCAGTTTGGTATCAATATTACAGCACAGGCTGTTGAACCTCAAGAGTTACCTTTGATTCCTATGTCAATAGAGAGATGGAAGTAATTCTAGCAGTGGCAACTTAAAATGAAAAAGAGCAAGGTAAGACTCTGACATACACTTGGCATTTCAGCTACTCACCCCCTTTGTGAGCTCCCTGCCTCTCACGCTTAGATCTCACAAGATGAGAAGAAACTCCATCTACCAGCACAGTTACGCTGTACAGGGACAAGCTCTCTCTTTCCCAGCCAGTCAGAATATCTGAAAGGCAAGTTCTTACTGCAAATTATTGGTGACTCACCTGAACTGACAAACACTGAGCAGCACCAGTGCTGACTGCTCTCCACCAAACTACAGCGAGCTGATGGCCTGCAGAGCACAGAGTTCCAGCTCTGTGCCACCCTAACCAGGGGAGTGAGGAGGACGAGCATTCTCAAAACAACCGGTTACCAAATTTTCTGGGAATTCAGGAGATCAGCTTCACTAAAGAAAGCACCTACCGCCTTCAACACACGTCAAGTTTATCATGACTAATGCAGTTTATTAGAAGTTAACTTAGCTCTTGCTTTTCTTGACCTGTTTTTTACTAATACTCAGTCTTTACCTCAGGCAGGATGGAAAAACACTCACGCTAGCCACTCAACATTTTCACTCCTTTATGTTTAATTGCTTCACTATGAATTCCAAGCTCCTGAAGTTTCCATCCCTTGCCCAAGGAGCTCTATGACATTCTAAGTCCTGATTCCAAACCTTTATTTGAGCCCACATTCCAGTATAACTTTGGCCCTCCTATAAGAGGCCCAAAAGAGGACTCTAAATATCCAGCCTGGTCCTGCTGAAGCAACCCAGGGCACTCAGCCTTCCAGGACCTGTTATAATAATTGGGGTTTATCCATGTACTTTGCTTCTGTGATATTAACCAATGTTTTTCCAATGAGGAAACATATCTCTGAACAGTTTAGGCGGAGGGCAGGTGTCAGAAACATCGAATCTGCCTACACACAGATGGAGCATGGCACACGTACGGATCAAGGAGTGACAGCTACATGGGACAGAAATCCCCCCTGAAAGCCCAGAGTGGGGTCCAGGGCCTCAGCAGGAGGCGGGAAGTGCCCGTTTCCATGCCAGAAGAGCCAACGAGACCGTGATAAAAGAACTCTCCCCCGGCTCAGAGTGATTCAGCAAAGGCGCTGGGAGCGAACCCGTTCTGCCTCTCTCCCCGCTTTAAGTGACCCAAGTGCGCACGGCCCGACCCCCGCCCCAAAACAGAGTCCGGCTCTGCCTCCGCTGCCGCGGGGGGCAGGACCCGCTCCCGCCCGGCCCGGAGCACAGCCCGCGGTCCCTGCCCGGGATCCCCGCCGGGCGCCGCGGCTCCCACCCGGGCATCCCCACCGCGCCCACCGGGAACGGGACCCGGTCCCGCCTGTCCCATCCCCACCCGAGCCCGGGGCCTCCGCTCCGCGCGCCCGGCCGGGCACGGCCCCGGGAGCCCGGCCCGGCACCTGCCCCGCTATCGCCCGTCCCGCCGCGCCGCGCTCCCGTCCGCGGCCGCGGCCCCCGCCCCGCGCCCGGCCCGGCCCGGCACTCACGGGCGCAGCTCTCGGCGCTGAGGCGGAGCCCGGCGGCAGCAGCGGCGGCGGGGACGGTGCCCGAGCCCGGAGCGGAGCCGCCGGCGCGGGCGGGGACGGTGCGGGGGCGTGTCCCGGCGAGCCCCGCCCCGGCGGCCGGGGGCGGGGCGAGGCGGGGCGGGGCGGGCGGGCGCGGCCGGGCCGCGCGTTCCCGCCGCCCACGGGGCCGCTCGGCGCTCGGGCGCGTTCCCGCGGGCGCGTCCCCGCGGGGCTGCGCGCGCCCGGCCGGGGCCGCGGGAGGGGCGTGTGGACGCGCGGCCCCGCGGGGAGCCCCGCGCGGCCCCGGTGCCGGAAGTGGCGCAGGAGGCCGCGCGCCTCTCGCCGCCGTTCGCGCGGCGCGGGCGCTCTCGCGAGAGGCGGGGGCGGGGCGGGCGGTGCAGGGCGAGAGGACACGGGCAAGATGGCGGCGGCTGCCCTGCGGCACCTGGCGCTGCGCGTCCGCCTGGCCCCGCACGGCCGCGGCGCCCGCACCCCGCTCCTGCGGCTCCCGCAGCGCCGGGGGCTCCGCCTCTCCGCGCCCGCCACCATACAGGTACCGGGGAGCGCTGCCGCCCGAGCGGGGCTCGCGCCCCTCAGGGAAGGGTCTGGCCCCGGGGCGGGCGGGCGGTGAGGGGACTTGGGCCCTGGGCCGAGGTGACTCCCGGCGTGAGGGGAGCGTGTCCCCGCTCAGCCCGCCTGTCTCGCAGGTGACGGTGCGGGACGCGCTGAACCAGGCGCTGGATGAGGAGCTGGAGCGGGACGAGCGCGTCTTCCTGCTGGGCGAGGAGGTGGCACAGTACGATGGCGCCTACAAGGTACGAGGGAGGCGTTGGCGGACAGGGAAAGGGCCTCAGGCGGGCGCTGACTCCTTTCTCCTGCCCTGCAGATCTCCAGGGGTCTCTGGAAGAAGTACGGGGACAAAAGGGTGATCGACACCCCGATATCCGAGGTAAGGCTGCCCTCTCGCCTACCGTGGTGATCCCTCCATCAGCTGTTCCCTGGTGCTTATCCCTTGGTTTTCCTCTCTTTCAGATGGGCTTTGCAGGAATCGCTGTTGGTGCTGCTATGGTTTGTACATTTGCATTTCTCTACTTCTGGTTTTAAAGATTAAAATTTTATGTCAAATAGCATATTTCATGCTTTTATGTAAAAAAAACATATTTCAATACATTTAATAGGCAGGGTTGAGACCAGTGTGTGAATTCATGACGTTCAACTTCTCCATGCAAGCAATCGACCAGGTGATCAACTCTGCTGCCAAGACCTGTTACATGTCTTCAGGATCCATCTCGGTTCCCATCGTGTTCCGGGGTCCCAACGGCGCCGCGGCCGGCGTGGCTGCGCAGCACTCGCAGTGCTTCGCCGCCTGGTACGGCCACTGCCCCGGCCTCAAGGTCGTCAGCCCCTGGAGCTCGGAGGATGCCAAAGGGCTGCTGAAAGCATCCATCCGGGATGATAATCCAGGTGAGCCTGGAGGTCGTAGCAATACCTGGCACTCGATCCTAAGGAATGGCTGGTTTTCCCCACAAAAACAAAGATTGGTTAAACCCTAAAGCGCTCAAGGTTGATTGGCTGCAATTGTAGGGTATGTAAAAAGACACAGAGGGATTCATGCTTTCCCTAACAGTCCCCTCCATGCTAACAGTAGAGTGATTTTGTGCTGCTGCCAGGTGCACAGTTTTAGTGCTAGTTTGGTATCAACCAGGAAACCTGGAAGCATTTATAAATCTACCATAAAGGGTTTAAAAAGGGTGAAGATGCGTTAGGAGGATTATATTATTATATTCCTTTATATATAGTGCCTATATAACTCAGTTTTACAGATCATGAAATTTAAATGATAAATTCAGAATTTCCTTATTTAAGAGCAGGGCAATGTTTGACATTCATTTTTTCACAAACAGTAATTAAAAGTATGAGATCTTTCTAAAAATAGTGATTGTACTGTCATGTACCAAAAGTAAAATAGCTTACCTCATTCCAGAGTAGTTGTAGAAGTTTTTTAAATATTTCATTATTGAAGTAAAGACTTAGATTTACTTTTTTTAAAATTCCTTCTGTAAACATAGTCCTCACTCCCTTGTTGCCTGGGTGGGTTTACTGTCCTGAGCTGCAGGACTGTTAGCGGTCAGTGCAGGCCTGTGCCTGCAGGTGTACACGCTAATCCAAGTATGTTTCCTTCTAGTTGTGATGCTGGAAAGTGAATTACTCTATAGTGTTCCCTTTGAAATGTCTGAACAGGCACAGTCAAAGGAGTTTGTTATTCCCATTGGAAAAGCTAAAATAGAAAGGCAAGGTAAGCTGAGAATGCATTTGTTTCCTTATTAATTGACATGCTTGGAGACTTTCTAACCTTTGGCTATTCAGGGTACTGCTATCATGGGGCAAAGGAAAGTATTTCAAATATTATTTTATCCAGTAGTGTGGTTTCGTGTTCTGTTGCCCTTACAAGGAAATAATACCTGATTGTCCGTATCTCAGCTTAAACTATACTCTTCTAAAAGATTCCATAAAGGATTTGTTCTGTAATATAGATTGGGTAGTGATGGGTCAAACAGTTTTCTCCTCACCTAAGTATGTGATTTTGGTCAAAAATGCAAAAAGAGATCACTGTAGTGTTTCAGCCCACTTGTTCATAATTTACCTCTGAACTATATGAACATTTGAATTTGATAATCTGAAAACTATATTAAATACATCTTCAGTTCCCTGAATTCAAGGGCAAAATTTGTGTCTTAACATGACCCTTCTGCTCTTCATGCTATGTCTGGGCTCAGTATTTCAAATAAGAACCTTAAATTTGCAAGTGAATCCTAATGCTGCCTTGAAAGGAGCCTGAAGTCTAGAAAAAAGCTTTAAATCTCAAGAGATTTTTTTCTACCACTTGTTTCTGTTCTAGGAACTCATGTTACGTTAGTAGCACACTCAAGACCCGTTGGCCATTGTTTGGAAGCAGCTGCTGTACTTTCCAAAGAAGGTGTAGAGTGTGAGGTGAGTGGGGTTTGGGTTACTTTTCTATATCCCTGAAGTGGGGGAAAAAAGTAGCATTTTCTTGTTGAAGTGCTGCAAAACTACAAGGGTCTTAATGCTTGCAAGTGCCTTGACAGCATGTGCTTTTCACGTTTCTGAGTTAGGGATCTTTGTCTTTGGAGTCAGAACAGCTGAAAGTGCTGAAGGGCCCTGTACCCCAGCAGAGGTGACTGAAGGCTCAGATCAGAGGCAGGATCACACTCTCCCTCCTCCCCAGGTTATAAACCTGCGAACCATTCGGCCCATGGACATCGAAACAGTGGAAGCCAGCGTGGTCAAGACAAACCATCTGGTAACCGTAGAAGGAGGTTGGCCCCAGTTTGGAGTAGGAGCTGAAATCTGTGCCAGGATCATGGAAGGTACTCAGTTTCACAGCACATTGATCTCATTCCCTATTCTAAATCCTGATTATTCTTGATGAAGCCAGGCAAAAGCAGAGTTACAGGTAACATCAGATGAGCTGGAGCTGTCTCACTCTAGAGATTTTCATAGGGTGGATGACCAAACCCCAGAGTGCATGAACACAAACAAGCCAGAATGCTGCCTTCTGGAATATTAAATTGTTTAAATAGAGTAACATTCAGAAATTGAATCAAGATAAAACCATAGTACTTGGCAACCTGACACTGTCTTCTGTTTCAGGACCTGCCTTTAACTACTTGGACGCTCCAGCTGTGCGTGTCACCGGTGCTGATGTCCCCATGCCTTACGCAAAAATCTTAGAGGATAACAGCATACCTCAAGTGAAGGATATAGTATTTGCAGTGAAAAAAGCTTTGAATATATAAGCTGTAAATAGATGTTTTAAAATCCTGCTCTACAAGGCATTCTTGGTCTTGGGCATGTTGTATGCATAATTTCTGTTGTGTAAGCTCCATAATCTTTTGTACAGTGGGGAAAGTATAATGACCTCCTAAAATATTTATATAGGGTAACCCCCCCAAGCCACACTTCCTATATGCAATGTGGTAATGCTTGTTTGTTCAACAGTACAGCTGGGTTAGTGCTACTGTTTGTGGAGAAACCCTGTTCTAAATTCAGAGTGAGGGAAAAATCCTCTGTTTTTGCTTGGCTTGTAAGTACCAGAGGCGCTGTGTTGAACCTGCTGCAGCAGTTGTTGAGTGCAGAGCTGCAGAGAGCAAGAGCAGGCCTCGAATGCTGTACAGCTGCAGGAGCCTGTGGTTGCAAGGCTCATTAAATTGGAATGATCAGGCTGAGCACTGAAGCCCAGCCCATCAGGGCAGCAGTTCACTGCAACTCTGAGCAGAGGCTGTGGCAGCCCAGGGGCTGGGTTCAGAGATGGTGGCTGTTTGAAGAGCACTGCACATGCAGAAAGGTTTCTGAACAACAGCTTAAATAAAGATCCTGAACCTTTCCACTATGTGATGGGAAACAATACCTAATTTTTCTTTACTAGCTGCCACATAACGGTGATGTAAAAAAAAAAAAAAAAAGTGCCCAGATGCTTTGCTTTTACTACTGGAGTTTTTTTGTGGGTTTTTTTTTTTTTTTTTTTGAACTCCCAACCTGGGCTGACAACAGCACAGTCTTGCTATCGTTCTTGCAGTGCAACATGAGTTAGTGTATTCAGCTGCACTGAGCCTAAGCAGCAGGTGTGTGGGCTGTGTATGAAGAGCTAGGACACATTCAGAGCAGCCTTTTGCAGATCACTGCATCCCAGGGAGCTCTGCCAGGCTTCCCTCAGCAGCTTCTGGTACAGAGGGAAAGCTGCCTTGAGGAGCCTGTGCAGCAGGGTCTGCTCTGCCCCTCAGGTAAATGTGGGGAGAGGATCTGTAAGCAGACAGAAGAGCTTGGGTCCTGTTTTTGAAGAGCCAGGAATACTTCCCAGGGTATTTCCTTTAGCAGAGGTGCTGCTCAGTTCTTGGGAGGTCTGGCTTGGAGGTTGAATCCCACTGGAACATATCCACCACATGCTGCTGAAGGAATTCCATTAACATTTTAATAAAAATGACTGAATATCACAGGTTACATGAAACTTTGTACAGACATTCTCTGCATAGTAACAAACACTGATGTACTTGAATTTAAAAAATGGATTATCTATAATCCTTTAAAGTGCAATTTGTTTAAGGTTTTAAATCAAAAAGGATCTTTCAATAAAGTTTAAATGATAGAAATAACTCAAAGTAACTTTTCATTTAATTAAATCAACAATAACATCCCAGTGCCCTATAGCCTCCCACTTCAACTGCTTCCTCATTTAAAAACACTTTCCCCTAGAGCTGCAGGTAGGTTGTCCATTTAAACAAGCTTCATGAGACAGCATTTTAACTCCACCAGCAAACATGGTGGGAATAAGATTTAATTCTCCAGTTCCCTCACCTGTGCAGTACGTTTTAAGGGTTGGATTATGTAAAACATTGTTGACTCCATGCAGCAAGAATTAAGATGAGTTACAAGTGCATGAAAAGAGCTGAAAAACTGAGCAGACTAAAACTACATTCCTGTCATTTGAAAAATGGGGTGGAATGGAGCTAGGAAAAATGCATTTATTTACCATCATCATGGTGATTCCTATTTTCAGATTTTTTCAGCTGTATAGGAGTTGCTTACCCCTGAAACTGTAGCTAGAGAACACAGTTCTTGCAGCCAAGTAGAGACCAGAGTAGTTTATGCCAGCATGGCAAAGCAACTCGGGCAGAGCAGTGCTGTCCCCCAGGAACGCTGAAACCCGGGAGAAGGGAACCCGGGAGAAGGGAACCCGGGAGAAGGGAGCTGCAGCTGCTGTGTGCTGGTGGGTCCGTTGCTGGTCAGGAGGGTCAGCACAGGAGGGGGAGAGGGAATTGAATCCTGCAATGACCAGTGGCCTCAGCTGATCCTGGGAGCACTGTAGTCGCACGTCTGTGTTCTCTTCAGAGTTCCTTTCTGGAAGTTTTGAATGGAGCTGAGCAAGGCTCCCCGGCCTGCGCTGAGCTCGGGCCGCGCCGCGGGCACCTCTGTGCTCGGGGGAGGAGCTGCTGGCGGCGGGGGCGGCGGGGGCGGCGCTGGGGGGATGGACGATGCTCCTGAGAAGGTGGGGAGAGAAGGGGGAGTTTGATTATGCCAGGGATGTCCTGCCCCAGAGGCCTGCGGCTGCTTGGCTGGATTAGTCCCATCATCCCCTGAATGCCAGTGGAGTGTGAAGAACAGAACAGATGGAAAATGCCGAAGTGATCAAATCCCTCTATCTGCAGGTGAGTCATGTCATCTGAGATGCCTCTGAAATGAAGCCTGAAGGGCCTCAGGACTCAGATGCAAAACATGACTCATGTGTGATCATGCACCAAGGAAAACAGAGATTGCTGAACGGGACTTCCCAGATTCAGCTTCTCCTTTTTGTCCCTAGTGAGGCAGTTTGTTCTTTGGGATATGAACAGTAACGAAGACTGGAAGCAAATTTTACTACCTGTTCTTACTTACATAACTCACTTGACATTCCTATGAATGAAGAACCACATCACTGTAGTATCTGTGATGACCATTTCGCTTGGCCAGATTATACTTCAGTTCTACAGTCGTAACTGCAGATAGAGTTTTCTGAAAGTGTTCTACACTTCCAAAGTTCTGGTTGACTTTCTCCAAATATGTTGTAACACATGGTTGCTTTGACAGACTAAATGAATCACAACACTGTCACACACACCTCCAGCCTGCCTCTCCTGTTCCCACCAGCCACCTTTGTACTCTGTCCCTTGCTCTCTGTGCCAGCCACATCCACTTTCTGCTTCACATGCAACCTCAGCCTCCACACCCTGACTCCCTGGGAAGCCAGAGCCCACAGTGGAACATGCAGCTGGTCCAGCAGTGAGGGCCTGCATGGAGCTGTTTCCTGGCAGTTCCCATCCAGGCAAGTGGCTTCCCTCTTTTACCCCAGGCACTCTCCCAAGCACCCTGATCTTGTGCAGCTCTGCTACTCAAGTCAAATAATAATGGGCCTATCTTGTTTCATATTTTGGAAGGAGTAGGACCATAATTATTAATATCCTGGTACTACTCAGCAGCGAATCTGAACTAGAGCATGAGTTATGCCATAGGAAGACTGAAGAGACAAATGACACCTATTAACACTTGCTTCCAGTAGCTCTGACCTACAAAGAGGAATATACTGGTAAGTAGCAAGAACTGTGATACTGGGCAAGGTAAAACAACATTAAGGCAACCAAGAGACTGTTGTTCCTGAAGTAGAACTGCTTGGTAGAAGTGAGCAAATTCAAGTAATTATCTAACATTATGCCACTGACTCAAAAGAGATTTGATGAAGGATAAAGCTCAGCTACAGAAAAAAAGCAGATAAAAGTTCTCCATGCTCCATTTGTCTCTCAATTCCTTATCAACAATTGTTTTTAGGCTAACAACAGTAAAAACAGAACTGGTGTTATTAAAACAAGCAGTTATACTAGATAAAAGACATAATTCAAAACTCTCATTTTCTATCCATACCAGTCTTTGAAGAAAGACTTTTCCCATATGAGAGCAAGCTCAAAATGCAGAGTATTCACATAAAGCATTCAATTTTGCCAGTATACATTTATATGTGCTGTGACTGTAGCTCTTCCAGCTCTTCAGGAGAAATTCTCATTGGCATGAAAGCCTTCTGTGAAAACAAAGCTTTGAAGTACACACTGAGCTCATCTTCACTCTCTTTCTTTCCAGAGGAAATACTCAAGTTCTAATAGAAATACCAGAGATCAACTGAAACAGTTTAATCTGCCTGTTGCATGTAGATCAACTGCTTTCTGAAGTAACCAAGACTTTACACAATGGCAGCACAAACTGAAATAAATTGCATAGTGGGGCCTTCTAACTTAGACAAATCTGCTTTTTACACTTGCCAAAGACGTACATCAATTTACGGTTAGAAATGCTGACAAAACAATCCCAGCATTAGAGCCCTGTTTCTCTTGTGGAAGGAGGCCAGGAGAGAAAAACTTGGCCAAAGGAAGAACAAGACCAAGAACAGTCCAAGTACCCATTTAGTGGTTGAAGTGGTCAGGGCAGGACCCTGCACCAGCTTACCTCCAAACAGATCAGGTAAACTGCTCTGAAAGCACCAAGAGCAGCGAAACACAAAAGAAATGGCATCAAAGAGATGCAAGAACTGCAGAAACAAAGACAAGATTTTTGTCTGGAATGCAAGGTGAAAGAGACTATGCAAGTAGTTGCACAAGGTGCAATAGGGAATGACCATGAAAGCAGTGGCCAGGGAATACAAATACAGTGGTAACGTGGTGAAAGAGGGCACATGTTTGACACACACAGGGGAAAACAGACACAAAATGCTTGGATCCCAAGGTATTAGTAGCCAAGATTCCATGTCTTATCTTCAACTTTTGGCCTGGTTATTTTACAGGAGTAGAAAAGACAGGAAAGTAGGGGCAGAGATCACCTTTCTTCCTGGAAATTGTAACATTCCTCAGGACTCGCTATTATTGAAATTGAGCTGTTTACACTATCATGTAGTTAAACTCTTGCGAAACTGATAACAGAGAATTACACCCTTACACTTGAGCTCTGCTGTAAGACATAAATACATGCAGGGTTCAGAATGACATCTCACTAGTTATGGGCATTACATACTGAACCTGTTAATTAAGAGCATGATTCAAAAATCTTCAAATCCATTCACTTCAGTTAGGTCATCAACACCAAGCTGTCCTTCCCTTCTTGACACGAGTGGTGCAAAAGAAATCTTAGTTCACACACATGCATTCATATACATTTACATCTACAGATGAAATTGTTCTGCCCTACAATGAAATATTTTCCTCTATTTGCTAGAAAAACCATTTGAGACAAATACTTAGCTATTACTAGGCCCTTCCAATACATATGTTGAGGGACATTGCCTGCAAACACACATTTTATTCATTCATGCAGTTTTAAGAATAAAACACTCAAACAAGAACTTACCAAGGGTTTTTACAGGGACATTTTTGTTAAAAGAGTGTGTTAAAAGGAATAGGAAGTAAATCAGATGCTGTAAACTTGATGCCTGAATTGAAACAAAAACTTAATTATGAATTTAAAGTGACAGCAATTGTGCAAACAGCATTAAAAACTTGGCTGAGAATGGGATGTGAACAAAGAAAATAATTTTAGCGATAGTTTTTAAAGATGCTGTATTTCATTAAAATAATCTGTAAGAACATTCAGATTTTTTTTCTTCCATTCCCTCCCAATACTAAGCAACTTCAAGATTTGCATCCAGCTTTCCCATTCAGAAACAGAGCATCTTTAAAGAGATAAATCAGCATTAGCTTACTTTTCTGAAAATTCACGTTCAAAATGATGCATGCTCTATTGAAGACAGCAGAGAAAAAGAGAGGACACAAGTTAATCATCCAGTTCTCGTGTCAAAGTAAGAAAAACATACTGTTAGCTGAAAAGTTAGTACAGAAGTCAATACATTCTTACTCACTGACAAATATGAGGACAGTAAGTTGACTATTTCATATTACATTTAAAATACTTCATTCAATTCTGAAAAGTGAACCACAATTTTCCATGCTCTAAACATTATTATACTTGATCAACAAATACAACATACATGCTTTCGGTTGCACATGCCATAATTCAAGCTCTACAGGATTAAAGTGCATTTTGAGAGATTTAGAAAGAAATCTGCAGAAAGATTAGCCACAGAAGACGAAATCCATTCAGTTCAAGAAACACTTCCTGCTGTATTAACACCTGTATTCACACTTGTGGTCAGAGACACTCAGGAAAAGCACTTCCTAAAGCATTCCAACTGTTTTACAGGAAGGTGAGGGGCAGGAAACATGCACCATATGGCTGCCAATGAAACATATGTCATACTGAAGGATTCAGAACAACTGGCACAGAAAAAGATTGTTAAGTTCAATTCTTTAACTATTCCTACAGGGAAGTCCAGAGAAGCAAAAGTGACACTCTCCAAATTGTTCTCTGTTGAAAGATCTTGCTGCATCTTACAGGCTTATCTGATTAAGAAAATATTCAGTGAAATGTTAAATAACCCATACCACACTGTTCTGCACCCCTTCTGATCCTAGCCACTGCTCACAGCCACAAAGAAAATGAATGGATTTTCCCAGCAGAAGCAAAGAATTGTGGAGGAAAAAAAGAACCACACCGGGAGAATGTTAGAAACACGGGATGTTACATTAGAGTCACTTGCATGATCTAACAATGTATTTCAAATATGTTATTTAGCCAAGTACCTGCAACACCACCAGCCCAAAAGGTTCTCAGCAGTGAGAACAGCCCATAAGAGCCTACATCTCCAGAGGCACCCTTCCCCTCAGAGCAGGCCGTGCTCTCAGTCCTACAGCTGCAGCTGCCATAAGACAGCAGAAGCCAACCATCGTTTTATTCCTCAGTCTGTTTTCCATCAATTCTCCCAAGCACTCTGCTGCAAGCCAAGCCTCGCAGGGCTTTTGTTCAGGGACAAAGAACCTCTCAACATGTAAGAAACCCCCTGCATGAGGTTCCTTCCCCAGGCATGTCAGCCTGGAGCCCGTTCCCATTTTGGTCAGTGTCTCTCTCTCTGCACACACCCACACTATGTATGACCAGTTACAGGCCAGGATGAGAGCAGACGCTTCTCTTGGGGGCACTTTTCCCCACCAGCCTTAGTTCTGCTGTGGTATTGTATCAGCAGGATGCTCTGAGAGGCCCCACTTCTAACACAGCCATACCAAACTAGACAGACTGAAAGCCTCAATGCCTTTTTTAGAATCATCTCACCACACTGACACCCACGAGCAATTTTGGTACAGAGGTAAATATCCTTAGTAAGTACAAGGAAATTAGAAGAGAGAAATGCAAGCTACAGATGCATCACTTGTCACAAACAAGGTCCTACCATGGGACCAGTGTGTCTTTCCTCAAGGCAGTAAAAGCAGACTTGCTTAGAACAGCTAAAACTACAACACCGCTGGTGAAAAAAAAAAATCTAGTTTTCTCTCAGAATTAATATCTGAAATTTCTTCTACAAATTCTACTCACAAAAGCATTCCTGAACATGTGACACTTGGCTTTACACCTCATAAACAGCATCCAAGCCACTGGCTCACTAAGGCACCTCCAGTGTGAGGATGGGTACAAGCACCATGTCAGACAGGGCTGATCCCCACAAGTCATCAGGAGCACACTGCCACAAGATGGCCAACAGACACACTGTGACAATATGGTTTGGACTGAGACGAGCTTTGAGCACCAACCTGAGCTATTTTGATCCACATCTGCACATAAACCTGCATCTCATGCTTAAAACTTGAAAAAGCTTTCAACCAAGTTCCAACAAGTCCAAGTCAGAACATAACTAAGCAGTAGTTTTATAGGGGAAAAAATGCTTTCTATACATCTGTCCATTTTGGAGCCACGTTTCAGCTACATCCTTATGGAAGCCCTGGCAGGACTGGCAACAAATTCTCTAGATCACAGTCAGTGCATCCAGAGAATAGCACAGTAACAGTCATTATCTTGCTTAGGTTAACTGGGTTAGTCCCTACAATACACACTTCTCATGCCCTCAACTTGAAGGAGAAATTACTAATTTGAATTTCAGCATGACTGATTTGAATTACATCACACAGACTGCAGTGTCCTTTGAAAAACTATGCACAGCAAAGACAAATTTGATTTCATTGCTTTGGTTAATGACTTGTGCTATGGAGAAAGTTCCTGGGACTAGAAATCCTACGGCAAGAGTCACCATTAAAAATGGCAATGCCATGGGCTGCTTCCCCTCTAGAAATGTATTCTGTTAATATCTTTTACTATTAATATTGGCCAGTGTTCCTCTACCAGTCTTTTAGACTGAAGCATATCCACTACTCCTCAATATTCAGATTTGTAATTAAACTTTCAGAGTATTTCTATTGCCCACTCAATCAAATTCTTCACCACTTCCCACCCCTGTCTTAAACATTAGCAAAACTCTCTGCACAGCCACCCAGTAAACTGAAAAACATAACTGGCCAAAAATAATAAAGATACTATTTTTACCCAAATCTGTCTTGTTTCTAGATTTTTTTTCTACAAACTCTACTGGGTTATCAATGGTGTGTAGCAGAACTGGGGAGATTTATGAAGCTTAAGCCACCAAATTTGTCACACCTAAAATTCCTGAAAATAAATCACAGCAGTACAGGAATAAAAAGAACGAAGAAACAAGGGATGAACAAGCAGTATTTCAGAGTCAACAGACCATTAACACCAAAACAAATGTATACTGCAACATGAGGCCCAAAAAAAATGCCTAGAAAGTTGCAATGTGGGTAGGCCTGGAGTAATACAGACTTTGAAGCAAGCAGGTACACCCTGGGTAAATCATGCCATGTGTATCTCAGAAAGGTTATAGTTATAAAATAGGTTCTCTGTGACCTCAGAAAATAGCACATGCCCACACTCAGGCTGCCACAAGGTAACTGACATCTCGGTGCTCCATCCTTGAAAAACATCATCTCTTGATCATCCTGGGATTAATAACACCTCCGCTGAGGGGCAGAGGGGATAAAAAAACAACATAAAAAAGATAAAAACTGTAATGATTCTTGAACATACCTGCTGTGGAGGGTGGAGTGGGGGATGATGGAGATGTTAAAGGGGAACTCGCCCCAGAGCCTGCTGAATAAAACAACAGTCAAGTAACTACAGCTGTGACACAGCAGCTCAACACAGACAAGACAGACTGCTAGAAGCAGGCCAATTTATTGACGGAAAATCTAATCCTCCTTGCACATCTTAGGAAATATACTCATTCATAGCAACAGTGGCTTTACAGTAGAGAGTATGAGAGAAGCCCCAAAGACATAGGAAATGCACTCAATATTTCTCAGTGGGAAACATTTCTGTTGCTTAGGCTGTTAAGTACATCATACAAATTCTGTTCACCTTAAGAGTTGTGCCAATGCATGGGTGGCACCCCATCTCTCCTAAGAGAGATGATTTTCAGTCAGTTGCTGTACTCCACAACAAGCTGTTTTTGGACACATTTTAGCCAAACAAATCAACTCTGGTAATCTGTTCATTCCATAGTACCAACCACACCTTTTAACTAAATGAAAATTTGTCAAAGGCTCTGTTGTATTAAAATTTGGCACTGAAGGAGCAATTAATTCATCTTAACACCTTACTAAGTAATACAGATCACCAGAAACTCTCCCTGAAGACTGCATTATTTAATGGCCCAAGTAATGGACATTGTTGTTATTCAACTCAAATATCAAACACAATGAAGAGACTGATAATTTCTTTCAGGAATGGGGCATAGAAGAGAGGAGACATTACTTTAAATTAGGCAGCTGAAAATATAAAATTGACAATATTCTTAAACCCTCAATTTTACTTATTATTAAATACAAAAAAAACAGTGGTACCAGGCTTTGGCAGTCAAATATGTAAAGTGTTGGTAATCCCAAATCTCTTCAGAGTGAAAATGACAGTAATAAGAACAAAACTGACATAGCTGTGTAGAAGCAAATTCCTCTCTCTGTAGTTACCTGAGTTATTTGAGTTGCTGTATTTGGCTGAGTGTTCTTCCCCACTTTCATTGGCAGAGCGCTTTGACTTCTTTAAAAGGGAGCAGAGGAAATGGAAGATAGGAATGAACAATAACTTCTATGGCAAGAATTGAACTGACACACAGATTTGTAACAGCCATCCACTGTATCACACAATGTTTTTCAATGCTCAGCATCCCCTTCCCCACACCCAGCACACGCTGATGTGGTTACAAGAGCAGCACGGCTGTTTTGTGCTCAAATAACTCCAGCCAGGCCTCAGGGAACTCAGTGCCCCCTGACCACAAGGGAAAGGAAGGAAACTGAGACACACACACGTCCCTCCCCAGAAAAGAAGAGGAATGCAGACAGTGCTGCAGGCTCCAACCCCTCCCCAGGGAGTGGGACAGAGCAGAGCACCTGGGCGTGAGCTGTCAACCAAGACTGGTCTCATACAGCAACCTCAAACAGGCTGCACCAATGTGCAAGTCAGCTACCACTGTAACTTAAACTTTTAGTAAATCTATTCCCTAGCTAAAGAAGTGAAAACAACCAGGAAGTAATACAGAAAAACATAGGAAGGAGTACAGTCATGTACATATGGCTAAACCTGTGCACGGTAAACATTACAAAAATAAACACATATTTTTATGTGGAAGAAACCTATTTAAAGATTGCTTACTTTTCGTGCCAAGATCTTCCTTTTCTTTTTTTCTTCTTCAGAGCCATGATGAGATTGAGCTCTTGTCAACCTTCTGTGCTGGTGAATCTGCAAAATTAAGGAAAAAATAGAAAAAGACCATAGTAGGATCTCAAATGTTTGAAAACTATGTTTAGGATACAAGAAAACACACTGTAGTCACTGTGTAGGTTTGGGTTTCCTTTTTCATTTCTAGCCTTTCCTTCTAGTAGAGATGGAGACTTGTACTGAAGTTAAAATGATCCTCTAACTTGGGAGCCACTACCTGTGAAACTGCACCTCTTAAAATAGTGAAATGCCATACAGTTAACAGCTGTGATATAACTCCTCATATTGCATTTTTGGGAAAGTAAATCTGCTGGTGAAAGCCTTTATTACTCAAAATCACTTTTGAGTAAAAAGTCACTTTCTGCATGTAAAAGTGATAAGAGGAGATGAAATGTCTGTAGGAAATAAAGAAATGTAGACATTACCAATTTCTGTTCTTCTGTTAATCGCTTTTCTATGCATTCCTTGGAGATTTTCAATGCCTCTTTTAGCTTAGTAGGAATCTAATACAGAATGGGGAACAAAATCATAGCACAAAACGTGATAAAGGAAAGCACAACTTCACTGATCAAAATTCACCCACCATATATCTGATGACATTTCTCATCTAAAGCCCCAAGATGTGACATTATTCTTTTAGTGAAACAGAAAGAAGGCTCTAGATGCATGTTTTTCTACTCCAAATCTAGCAACACATCAGCAGGGACAAAGAAACACCAAACCCTGGAAGGGATACTCTAAATGCAAGGACAGATAACTACTTTGAGACTCCAGTCACATCCCCAAATTTCTATGAGGCTGACAACACAAGACACAGGGCACAAATCCTCCAGAAGCACCCTGGGGCAGCTCCCCAATGGGACCAGATGTGCCCCTGAAGTGCCCCAGTGCTGGAGCTGGCAGCAAGGTGCTGATGGTCTCAGGTAGCAAAACTGGCTTCCACAAGTGCTTGCAATGTGTTTCCTCTCACTGCAAGGGACCTGCAGGGCTCAGAGCCTCTGCTCAGCCAGAGCATCCCCATCAGTCACACAAATGGGCTCTGTCAAGTTCAGCAGCTGCCCTTGAACACCCCTGGGTCACATCGTGCTACCCTCTAAGGGAGGGGACAACGTTCCCAGGGACAGTTCTCAGGGACAACATTCTCAGGGACAGTGTGGCAAAGGAATGCAAACACTGATGGCAGCAGCCACAGAGGCAAATAAAGCCAGCTCTCCTCAACCCCCTCTGTCAATCAATATGCAACTACCCACTTCCACAAACATCAGAAAATCAGTGTTGAACTCTACCTTAAACTGTGGTTTCTCAGAGTTTGTTAGCAGGACGTCGCTGAATAATCTGAGAGTTGACAAAGAAAAATAATAAAGAGGAATATTATCCCCAAGAGACAGGCAAAAGAGAATGAGAATACTATTGGTACTGTACAATTAAACCCCTCTTTCTCCTTTTGCTTCTCTGTCCTCAACCCTTGGCCACAGATTTCTATGTACTGCTTTTTATTTTCTAAGCACTGCTTAGAAAAATAAGAAAAAGCAGCACCCAACCCTCAGAATGTAACCACTACTTACGGCTGAGAAAATGGTTTCTGTGAGCTATTTTGAAAGTGGATAGAACATGTACAGTTACCAAATGGAGAGAAAGGTCCCCCGTCCCCCCCCCCACCAAAAAGAATACCTTTTCCTTAAAAGTATATGGATTCTTTATTTAAAAATAAATAAATAAATGAATGAATCCAGGGACTTTATTTTAAATTTCAATTAAACAAAATCACTGCTCTTGTTAAAAAACTTCTCTTAGCACAACCCTTGTCTTAGAATTAACAAGGAACATGTGAAAGATCAAGTGAACTTAACATTTGAAATATCTGCATTCTTTCCTGTCCTCTACAAAAGGCAACTAAAGCAAATATTGCAATATTTTTGCTCTCCCCTCTATGGTATCAGCAGAAACACCATAAGTGATTAATCCTTTTCCATTCAAAGCAAAGACACTAGAGGGCAATGGTAGTCTGAAAATAAACTGGTTAGTCCATTTCAAAATACTTTGTGCTGGAGAACATACTAGAAAACTGTCACAGAATACCTCAATCCTGGCTCCAAGATAAAAATTTCTGAGTTTTATTCACTATGGAAAATTATCACAGGCTATACTAGAGAAAATGAATTCACATCTAGAATCAAGTTAATTCAGGAGAATGAAAAATTCAGAAATAAAGCAAATTTCAAAATACTTCAAAAATCCATGAAAGTTCATCCTTGCTTGCAGGACTTTCTGACCCTTTCAGATTACATGTTCCTCTGGTTATAATAAATATGTATTTAAATTATATTAATTGCTTTAAATTACATTAATTGCATTGCATATCTGTGTAGAACACTTTTGTCAAGATTACTGGTATGAAAATATCTAACATATCAAAGTCAGCTGGGCACAGACTGTTTATTCAACATCTTTAAACACCTGTGTATTTCAGTATTCACAGAGTTTTCCTACAGTGTTTCTACCCTGCTTACATTGTTCTCTTTACCTCGCACCTTAAAAAGCAAAGAAGGAGAGGAGAAAAAGGAATTGAAGGCTGCAGTGACTCTTCCCAACTAAGAAATCTGAACCTCAGAGCAGGCTCTAAATGCACTGCAATCTGTGCTGTACCCAGATTTAGGCATGGACAATCTGCCATTGAGGAGGCCCCAGCTACAGCATCTCACATGAAGAAATAATAAAAGAACCTCCCACCAGAACTGTGGTTCCATGCTCAATGTGCTGGGGACATGTCACAGCATGGGGACAGCAATTTCCTGGAATGCTGTGCCCTAACAGCAGGCAGGGTGGCACTGCAGACAGGGGTGGTCCCCACTCAGTGGCACACAGACAGTCCTCCCTTCCTGCATCCTGGCCTTGTCCCCATGCCTGCCCTCATCCCTCCATGCAAACTTGAAGGGCTGCCTGTAAGGAAATTCATTCTGTCTATGCTTCAGAGAATCCCTAAGCCAGCCCTGCAAGAAAACAGACAGAACTTTCATACTACATTTCAGACCCAGAGCAGGTCTAAATGTCACTGCTGAGCAAAGCAAAAGATGTATTTTGCCAGTCCTAAGTGAACTGACAGCAAAATCTTCTGAAGTAGGCCTGAAGGGAGCATGCAATAAAACTCCTTTTTTAAATCCTTTAAATCAATCTGTACATGATCTCAATCATGCTTGCATTACTTGAATGGCTGGATTAATTCAAACCCTAAATAATTAAATAAAGTGCATACGTAACAGCTCCAGCACACTGAGAGGCAAAGGAACATTAAGCACACATATGAACAAGGGATGGGCTTTATATCAAGCTTCACTTGGGACCCACCCTGTAGGGAATGCTGTATCATCCTTTCCAACAACACCCCTCAGAGATGGAGGAGCAAATCTTTCTAAAGAGGAACAAGAGCAGAAAGTTTCTTCCTCCTAAAATAATTAAAAACATTGCTATGAATATAAAACAAGTTGAACAGGACTTACGGCATCTGTAAGAGCCGTGAGACAGTTGGCATCCCATTCTTCAGAGCTTCACAAGTCAGAATGGACTCCAACACTGACACTACCAAAGAAAAAGTAAGAATGAACACATTTTTGCACAGCAGGATAGCTGCATCAACCAAGCAGTGATGAAGCTCTGTGGCATGTGGTTTTTATTATAGCATTACTGTTACACATAGAAGCTTTTCAAGAATGTTAGACATGAGGCAAGGGAACCCAGGCATCTCATTACTTGTTAAACACTACCTTATCACTCAGCTAAAAAAGTTTTATTCATGCACTACATGCATTTGACGAAGAACACGTTTTCTATTTGAACAAATTACTAATTCTTTCTTGTTACAGGGTGCAAAGATCTCAGGCTGCTATTTCACAACACTTCATCTTTGGTAAAGTCTAGGAGTGTACCCAGGCAGCTGTGACTGAGATGTTCTGCACTGCATACTAACCAACAAACACTGATGGAGCAGGGGGGAAGCTCTCCACTGGAATCGTGTCTGGAGGTCTTCCATACGTCATTTCATACAGCAAGTGTCCAAAGCAATGAACATCAACACCCTCTAAAGTCTGTGGGGGAACAAAGAAAAAAAACCACACCTTGTTAGTTCTTCACAACTGGTTAACCCAGTGATCTTGCATGTAAAGACAGAAAAGAGGAACCATTAAGGCAGTTCCTAACCACAACCATTTCCCTGCATAACTGTAGCTCAGACGAAATCTTCATGCTACAAGCTACAGCAGCCTCTGTTGTCTTTTTGTACAAGATGGTACAAATGGGAGAGCAGTATAGTCATGCTCTGTAAAAATGTGTGAAGTAGTAAACTCTTCACAAAGCAGTTTAGACATCTGCACAGCAACAGAAGTCCCAACCAAGCACACTTTCCTAGCTAAGTCAAACAGCAAATAATGAGATTCATAAAATGATCAGCTGTCACTTTACAGGGAAGTAGATAAAAAGATGGGAAAAAATGCATACCAATCAAACCTAGGTGAGTCTCTTTTGCTCCTCCATACGTTCGTGCAAGCCGTACATACATGCTGATCTCCCAGACAGCATATTTCCAAGATTTCTGAATCATGTTTAAGCAGAAGAGGCTCCTCATACAGTAATAGGTTTTGATGGCACTAACAGATATGACTAACCATGAACTTGTGATCATTTCTTTGACAGTACAGAACTTGTTTAGCAAGGTCAGCAAGCAGCTCTCTCATGATGCTGCACAGAATTTATTACAATGAGAGCCTAAAGGCAGGGAATGATGTTGCTGCAACAAGCCATATTTGTTTTCATATTTTTGCAGTTAGATAAATATTTTGCTTTGCAAGCCTGCAGTCAAACAGACACCCCTCAAACAAATAAAAATAACCCCTGAACAGCTAGAATCTGCAAGCATCTGATCAATTTTCACAGTCTCCACCAAAGACAAGGCTGATTACTGCTCCCAGCTAGGCACAAGTAAATAGCTGTGCTCACTGTACAGACATAAAAGTGAAACCGTAGTAGACAATATGCAAATTCCTATGAAATACAGAGCAGAGTGGAAAGAGATCTTAAAACAATTGCACTTTACCTCTATTTGTGCTGGCAGTGTTGTCACAAAAACACTCACCTGCACTCCCCCTCTACCTGTTTACCTTTGGCCTCAGCCTCGCTCCAGTGTGCTGCAACAGAACTGCTGTGCAGTGATTTGGAGGAAGCAAAAAGCAATTTGATGGAGTAAACTCAGATGAAAAAAAGGGGCTTGAGAGAGATTTTTTTCATTCTAGTCAGTTCTATTCTCAACCTTTGTTTGTGGAAAGATTTGCATTAATTCCTTGTCTGAACCTTACATTAATTTTCCGAAACTGTGAAAAGTACGATCGATAAAATGATGGAAGTCCCAACAAGGAATTTTCTAGATCCAGTAACTTGCAGGTATCCCCATCCAGCATCACATTGGCAGAGTGAAGATGGCCATAAGGAAATCCTTTCTCATGGAGGAATTTTAATACCTGAAAGAATTTGAATAGAGAAGCACAATCACAAGATGGTCTGATGATCTCAAGATTGTAAGATCATCACTTAAATGGTCCAATACTAAAGCAGACACATAATAAATGAGGCCCCAGTTTGGAATGCTCACTCAACTTGATCTTCTACCTACATCCTCTTTGGCTGACTATTCATTCCCATTTCACTGGTAGAAGTTTTCACAAAACAAATATTTGATGCTGATTCTCAAAGCAGGCTTATGGACACCTCCCAAAGAGATCTGGAAACTAAAACTTAAAATTCTACTGAATATGATAGTTTGAGTAAAAAAAAAATTAAAAACACACTAACAAGCATGAATTTATGGCACATGTTCTGCAAGCTATGAGTTAACTTCTTTCCCTTTTTACACATGAAATAGCGTATATTATCACCTCTCTCCCATTTAAGCTCTCCACATACCAACTGCATTTTTTAGGGGGGGTCATATATGGTCTCACACAAATATATCTAAATTCAACTCAGCAGCATATCTCAATTTGCATTTAGCTTTGAATTCTGCTGATGATATAAAGCTTGTGTACTCAAAGCTTTGTCCACTTTCTGTAGTTAGACCAGCTGGCCTCCAAAATAATAAATCAAAAAAGCTGGTAAATAAAAGAAAAAAAATTACCTCTAATATTTGCCTTCCATATGTTTTTATTTGCTGAAGTTCAAGACCTTGAATTTTTTTAGGATTGCAATACTTCTTCAGGAATGGGTCTTTTGGCTTTGCCTTTAAAAGAAACACACGAATCAAGTACTATGCCCAGAAAAGTCATTATTTGTTTTAGTTTGCTTAGCAATTGATGGCGAACACTTTTATAAAAAACATGTATGGTCATTCCAGCATATGTTCTGCCATTTAACTTGCAGGTAGGGGGAAGATGTTACCTTATAAATAAGGTCCTTTAGTGTCCCTTTTTCACTGAATGGTCTTATAACCAGTGCTGAAGATTCGTTGGCAATGGCAAAAGTGATTTTGTAAATATAGGGATGCTACCAAAAGAAGAAACTGTAGGTAAATTTCAGATGATAGATTTTTAAATCATTTCTGTTCAATTCACAAGTAAAAAATATCAGTCTGAATTGTGCATTTAAAGTAGCAAATTGGATTCTGTCAATGACAAAGAATAACTCAAATTATTCAGTTAATAACTCAAATTACCTGGAGTAAATGCAAAGAAAACTTCACAAAGACATTATTCAATTAACATACAAATTAAAAACAAACTAAAAAAAAAAAAAAACTGCTTCAGCCAGTCTTTCACATGCTTAACAGCCTTAAACAGAGACTCCAGAGACTCCTTTTGGAGTCAAATGCCAGTTTTTCAGGCAGAGATGTCTACTGGATTTATAATGTGGCATTTCACAGGAGCTTAAATAGTACACCCTCCATTGCAGCTCTATTAAGATGTTCCTGTCTTGAGTCCAAAGAACTGAAAAAATAACAATACTCGTTCCACTGCCTCATCCACTGCTGCCTGAGAGTATCCCAGCTGATGGATTAGCAATTACACTTAAACAGCACTATCCTAACAGCCCGAGGTGTTGAGGAGATTAAATAAAAGCTCATGATCTCACAGTACTGCACAAGAAGAAAAAATTCAAATCAACCACAACACTGAATCTCCTTTAATAATCCTGCAGGATTATTACTTGTGCTGAGAACATGTTACGTCATGGTATATGGGAAATTTAATTAAAAGGTTTGCAAACCTTTAATGAAAGCAACCCTAAAATTACAAACTATGCCAACTAGGCTACATGTGCTTTTCCAAGATCAGTCCTTGACACACACTTTCATGCTAGCAAAATTTTAAAATCTTCAGTACTCACAGAACAGGAAGAAAGAAGTTTCACAGCATACTGTAAGTCTCTGTCAGACAAGTATTTATCAGGGCCAAGATCAGCCTGGAAGTAAACAGGATAAGAATGGCATAAAAATACATGTTGCATTCCATACAGAAGATGTGATCAACGTTCTACCTTGGCATATTAGGACACATGTTTTAAGGTATATTTTGAAGAGCAAGCAAGAAAATTACACATACAAAATGAAACATGAGGAGGCTGCATAAAGCCATACAAACATCCTGACCATAAATATTACTGCCTCTTTTCTCCCACTGACCTGACTTGCATTGCTACCACTGAATGAACTTTGCCAACCCTAAACTGGGGGACTGTGTACATTAGGAACTGATAAGGCACCTTCTTCCTCTGCAGCAAGAAAAACTTCCCTCCTCCCACAGGCTTTAGTGACCTCTGCTCTCCAGTGAAGTCACACAAACAGCTGTGCTCGTACAACTAACAGGGCAGCACATTTCAGCACAGGAGCAAAATCAACTCTCATTGAGGGAGCATTTCATGCCCTGCTCACCTATTAGTTTGTCAGTACAACTAAAGGTCTGAGTAGGAAAACCCATGACATTAAAAAGGTTCATCTCATTATTTTCAGTGAGCACATTTATATTATGGTCAACAGCCACATCATTACAAGTAAAGAATCCTGAGGTGCAGGTTTGGGAACAAATGACCAGGCACAGAAAGTTCCAAACTGGGTTTGCCACCAGAGGAAATAAAAACAAGAAATTCCACACCACACATCTACCTAAGGGCTTCCAAAGCTGTCTCAAAGCCTGAGCTCTTCAATCTCTCTCCCCATCACTCGCACATGATAGTCAAAATCAAACTTTGAGAAAGACTTAAGAATTAAATTAGAGCATAGATACCCAGCTTAACACTAGCCGTTCCTTTGGTTGATTCTTAATTTTCATTAAGAAATATTTCTTACGTATTCGCCAACCTACAAAAAAAAGTAAAGAAAAAAGTCAGCAGGGGCTTTAATTAAACACTGCTAAATCACACAGCTTGCAGGTAGGACAAGGTCTGTAAGCAAAGACAGTATTGGAACCTTAGGACAACTCTCATAATTGGGAAAAAAATCAGAGAACTTTTCATGCACACATGGCCTTCTTACCTATATCTTTTAACGGTTCAACTACTTCCCACTTTGGCTCTGATCGGAAGAACATTGAAACATGCTGTAAGGCAATTTCTGGAAAGAAAGAAAGGAGACAAAGAGGGAGAAAAAGAAGAAAAAAATTTAAATGTTTTTAAGACACTGTATAATGTAATTATCCATATATGAGGCAAGGTCCAATGCCAGAAGGAAGCCTTTGGGAATTCAGACTAAAAGTCAGCAAAATCAATTCAAAAGAAAACCAGATAAAAATACAGTTTAAAAGCATTTGAATTTTTAACCTGGTAACTCAAATCCAGAGAGAAAACAGAGAAAGCACTGCTTGGAATACTTAGCCTACAATCTCCATTCTATCTGTACTGGATCTACATTTCCAAGTCTAAATCACAGCTCAGATTTCCCACACTAGGTGTACACAACATTAGAACACCAAATGTTTCTGCTGCATCTGTAAAAGTGTTTTTATCTCTTTGACATCCATCTATGTTGCTATTACTAAGTGTAGTTTGTGTAAACTAATTAGTTCTGTTTCACTATAGTTATTGTGCCCTTTTCTGTGCAGGCAGAGGTATTTGGCCAGCTATCATGGGACTTCATACATTTTGAGGGCCAAGGGGGAGGACACCCATCTGGTTAGTGAATTCTCCCACAGCTGGGAACACAACTGGTTTATTCATGAAGTGCCTTGAGGGGAAATCTCAGTGAGAACTGGGGGGGAGAAAGGGAATCATGCCAAGGGAATCATGGCATAGAAACACAGCAAAAAGTAAGGAGGTGATGATCTCTCTGCATTGTATCTTTTTTCCTCAGAAATATGCTAGAAAAAAATGTGTAATAAATATAATCTCTTTGCCCCAGTATTTAGGAAATGACAAACTGATGGCATCTCTAAAGACCACAGGCAATGACCAGCTTCCCAGCAACTTGCAGGAAAAACAATCTTGATGAAAGTGCTCAAAATTAACACAGACATCACAACACCTCCTTGAGAATTTAAACTGCTTGCTCAGCATTAGCCAGACAAACTGCATCCTTAAAGAGTTACTAATAATTTACAACTCCTGCACAGCTTATCATACTGGGAAATGTTCTTTGCACTTTGAAGCTGAAGACACAAGAATGTTACGTAAAGGGAGGGAAAAAAGACAAGTGAAAAGGAAGCAGTGAGTTCCTGCTTCAGCAGGCTCTGCTTCTGAGAAAACAAGCTTTGCATTTTGCAAAGAGTTGGTTTGCCTATGAACTAAATTTGTGGAGTGGGTTTCATCACTAAGAGGAAGTTTTTTCAATCTGTAAGACAAATATTTATTGATATCCAATGGCTGAAGCTGCAGTAAGACAAATTTAAAGAATAAACAGTTAGTAATGAAGAAACTGACCACTGGGATATCATTTTAAGGAATGCAGTGACTTTCCAGTATCTGTGGGAAGTGAGTATCTGGCTTAGTTTAGCCTTGAAAAAGTAATCAACCTAGCTCAAACAACTAGTTCGAATTAGATTACACCCCGAAGCAAGGGTAGGAGCTGGACAAGATAACCACAATTCTTGAAAGATTCAGGACTCAGAAAATGGGCTGTTTTAACAGAACACTAAGCTAACAAACTTTACTCCACCTTACACTCTGACAGAAAAATTATTTCCCAAGAGCAACTCTTTTCATTTATTATGAATTTTGAAAAGTAGATAGCACTCTCACCAACCCCTCTCCTCCAAGTTCTGCTTATACAGATCTTGACCCTCTTCACTCCTCTGTGAAATAATTCAAATATTTGTATTTCACAATCCCAGCAGGATCCATGCACAGAGCTGGAGAAGCATTATCACAAATAATCACATGCACAGCAGGACAATTCTGAAGATTGTTCCCCCCATGCTTCAGTGTAGATCCTGGCCAGCATTCACTGAAGAGACAGAGCACATGCTGAAGTCAAAGTGAAGCACGGTTTTGTATTTTTGACTTACCAGTATAATTTACAGAATAGCTGTTTGGGTCCAAGAATTTCTTTACCAGTTCACAGTTAGACAGTATGTGATGGGCAGTAATCACATCCAGGTAGGCCTGGAGTCCCTTCTGTCTTTCAGCAATGAATTCCCGCTCCATATTTCCAATCAACTTTTTTGGAGGAAGAGGTAGACTTAGAGTTGAGATCTTAAAAAGAGAGGAAAAATTACTAACCTTGCTTGCAAAATGCCTCAAGGATATAAAACTAGCAACCCAGAAAGCAAAAGTTTCTCAGCAGCAAGCTGGATAACTCTTTGTACTGTGTATGTACAAGCTTTTCTATTTTTCCTAGCACTGCTATCAGAGTCAGATGACAGCTCACATCCCACTGTGAAGAGATTATTAAGTGGAACAACACTGAAAATACAAGGAGACAAATTTTTGCTAGTGAGTCATACATTTAAGATCACTACCCGAAACTTTCAGATACTTAATAGCGACAATTTTCAGCCAGATTCTTTCTATGATGTTCTTCTGCCACAGCACAAAAACAATTCACACCTTACTATTTTTCATCAAGTGCAGATTAGTAACTTTCATCTGCCTCTATGTATATATGTAATTTCAAATACAGTGCAGATTTCCATTTTATCTTCTGAATTTGTTCCTGTACATTTTTTTAAACTTTTATACATTTTTCAACCCAAAAATAGCTGCAATCTACCAGGGGATGTATACTAATTACATTATACTGACACAAGAGATCCAAAACTTAAGGGAAAAAAATCACAGAAATCCTTCAAAATAGGACAATGAAAAAAATTCAAAGCCTTGTGTAAATCAGATCAAAAAGATCATCTTTAGTGTTTAGATTCAATTACATCATCTGAATTGCCAGAACACATTTTTCGTGTTGTTAACGCATCATTGTCCTGCAGATCAAAGCACCTGCCTTGGGTAAGCTGAATCCCCATGGGAATTATCTTTAAGAATTGCATGTTGCAGCAATCAATTACACCAGATGCAATAACCTCATTTCTAAAGCAGAGTTCACCAGGGAGAAGACTGGGACTTCTGGTGTTTTAACAACTTTCATTTTAACTAGTGGAAAAAGTGGATTAGTTCAACAAACTGGGGCAGAAGGAGCATTCCCCTTCCTTTCTACTTCCTTCATTTGAACACAGGAGTTGTCTTCTGCTAACTTTAGCACTTCTCCTACTTCTCATTTTCTGACTTCAAATTATGGGCTGAAAAAGAACTATAATTATGTCTGAATTACAGAAACTATTAATAAAAAACAGCAAGAAAACCCAAAAGCAACCATATATCACTTACAGCCAGTAATTCACCAAATTAGTTTTAGCACCAGAGACAAATAGAACTCTCTTTCGGCAGACCACTCATTTCAATTAAAAACTGAGTGTCTAAACAAGAGCTGAGACCTTTTCTAGAATTATTCACTTAAAAAGCATGTCAAATCTTCATCACCTTTACCTTCTTGACCTGACAGCTAGCTACCATCAGAGAGAAACTGAGTCTAATTCACAAGTTTTCCAACCACTATCATTTGTTTTAAACTTATAAATCAGACTTCTACTATTTTTCAACAGAAAGTAACATTCAGGCCCAGGTTTTTGTAGCCATCTGCCAAAACACACAGCACAGCACAGCAAGAGCACTCCAGCAGAGAAGAACACCTCACTGAGGGCCTGACCTTGCAAAGACCTCACATGCTTTCAGACACCACTTCTCAGTGGCCCCAGCTCACCACTGGAGCCAGGATGGGCTTGCCAGGGAAGAACCTGGGAATCAACATTCTTATCTTCAAACCACAGCCTGCTCAGGAATGTCTGTTCAAAAGCTGCAATAAAATGCTTCACAAAAGCCAGATATCTTGCTGTGAATTCCAGTACTTCCAGTACCAGCACTTCACTTGACAAAACAGAAGAATGATCTCCACTGATCTCTGTCAAGCAAGTAAAGAGGAAAAAATGCAGAACAGACTGGAAGAAGCTTTTCAGTCTGGTACAACCGAGAGCTCAAGGGAACCTGTCTTGAAACTTTCTGATACAAATCAGGGTCAAATATATACACTTCATTTTTTCCCAAGGTATTTGGCATGACTGCATTCCTTTGCCTAGACAATTTTTAAATTATCAGTCCTTACTGTACATAGTACTAGATTAAGAACAGAAAATTTGCATTCCAACTCAACTGCAACTGTGCTCAAACACATCCACATAAACACAGAGAGGTCAAGTATGCCAGAAAAACTTGGAGAACTTGGGCTTTACACACAAAAGAAGCTCCAGCAGTTCTTCCAGCAGATCTTTAGCTTTGAAGGAAAAAGATTAGGGTTTGGTATCTTCTTATTTGTTTGGAGTTTTGTTTATTTACTCTAATTTCAATATACACAAGATGAGAGCTTAAAGAGTTTTAAAACATGTCACTGGACCTGAATATTGTGATGGAATATTGTTGCTTAGAGTTTTGGATGGAAACATCTGAGAAGTGTTTTACTGTCTTAACAGATGAGGAAAGTTCAGCTCCAGCATCACAAAGATTAATTTATAAAAAACTCTGAAACAGTGGGAGGAAAGAGCCACTGGAGGAGACCAACTGCTAAAGCACATGGCCTGCTAATTTAGCCACCCTCTTATATCCTCCCATTTAAGTTAGAGGTACATTTTGATAATTCTTTTTAACGTTTTCCAGTCATCCAAGCAGCTGACATTTTATCCTGGATCTTAGTCTCTCCTGTTTCATATTTCCCCTGTCCCACTCTGCAAATTTGCTCTCAGATAATTTCCTGGACCCTCCACTTTTATCATTCACTTGTATTTCAGATAAAAAGGCTTTTCCTTTCTAAACTCCATCATACATAACCTATTTACCTTCACTTTACAGATTTTCCACATAGGCCTAACGTTGCAGTACCTGTCATTTCTGGATTTTAAGTCTTAAAGGTCCATTGCCTTCTCTACTAAAGCTGCCTCATTTGAAAGGTAAATGAGAAGGCAACAAAGCCTTTTCATGCTTTAACACACTGTTCCCCCATGGTTAAGAGCAGCTTGTTGTAGGTGGCTGCAAAGTGAACTCTTCCTTCTTTTTAAAACTTGCACAAATTTTTTTTCTCTGTGATATCCATCAAAACTATGGTTAGACCACAATGACCCCAAGGTATTCTGATGACTAGTACCAACTCAACTCCTTGTGCTCCCATGGGTGTTTGTCTAATTTTAGATCTTGGATGTCTCTGGTGCAGGAGACACCTCTGTATTGGATTTATTCAGCACATCACAGAGAAGGTTTCTAGGTCATGATAAAAGTTCCTACGTGCTGCTGCACATTTAACAGAGTAATTCCACAAGGTAACCATGCTGCATCTGTTGAATTATGACTGATTTGCCCCTATCCACCTGCAGCAGAGGAAGCAGTTACAGTAGGCTCTCAGAGCACACAAATCAACATCCTTACAGGGTTTTGCTCATCAAGGTTCATCAAGCAGATAGTTGATTTGATTTGGGGAGGAGGGGGGAAGTGGAAGCAGTATTAAGCTCTTGAATTCATGAAACACTTAAGAAGGGAAAAATTTTAAAGTCACAAAAATCTATCCTCAAATCGTGCCATTCACTTTTTATCTTGTTTGCCCAGTATGGAAATCTCAAGTAACGAGTTTGTCTCCTGTAGATGTTAATCACTGCTGCTTACCCCCATTCCCAAACACACACTTCTGCTTTTTCCCACACAAACTGAAAAGAAATAATTGTCCTAAAAAGCAGAAGAAAACACACAGTAAGTCCAGTGTCTGACCAAGGAACACTCCTCAGTGACACAGAAAACCATCACATGAGAAGCAGCATCTGGTAGTGCTTTTAGGCGAATATAAATAATGAGACACATAGCACTTCAGTGCTGAATTTATAAGGTTGGTATGTGCCTTGGCTTTCTCCAAATCAAAGGAGGAACAAATAAAAACACATAAAACCGGAACAAGTCACAGGACTGAAGGGAAAGATTCAGCATCTGCCAATTTCCTCCATTTCTATATAAATTGATCCTGCTGATACTAAAATTCAAATTTTACATGAGAAAACTTAAAGATGAAAAAGTACATATTCATGTTACATTTGAAGTCACAGTTTACAGCTCTTTACAGCTAGGTAAATTCTTTTTTCTTTCACCACAATATATAAAAATACCACAAGGCATAAATATCACAATTCTGAATATATTCTTCTAACGGCATTTTTTATTCATATATGAAAAGTGAAAATTACCTGCAGGCTGTTATTCAACAAGTCAAAGTCACTATATCGCCTCACAATCTGTAAAATAAAATACAAAGTTCAGGAAACAAATTACTTTTTCCATTAGCATTTTACTTCTCAAAATCCCATCAGAAAAAATTAATTCCCATTTATAATCATATTCTTTTGCAATTTTTGTACAAATGCCTAACTGCTGGATTTATGTCACATTGCCAGAGAGCAAAAAAGAGTTTTTAATCACAACTTGATCAGACAGAAAAATGCATTTCTAAAAATTATCTTAAAACAGTACTTGTAAGCAAAGTTGTCTGCAAACAAGGCATTTTTGCCATATTAGATGTGACAACTTTTCACACTCATCTTCATTACTACTTCTTGGTTTCATTGGTCTCATATAAGCAGAGCTGTGATTTTAGCACTGAGAAAGGCAAACTGGAATTTGAGATTTTAAATTTATGGTTGCACCAACACATAGTAGAAACACATGACAGGCATTTTTCCTGGAATATTCAGAATTGCAGCAGACAACATGCCTTCTGTAGCTGGCAGCAATACTGTTTTTCTCTTAGTTTTGACCAAAAGAATTCAAGCACTTCATGTTCTCAATTTCAAATCAACATTTCTCTTTCCAGCTCAAATTTTAAAAGGCAGCAATAGGCAATTTTCAAACTTTTCCTAAAAAAAGAATCCTGGTTACATGAACCACAACTTAAGAAATTACCTGCCAACTGTTTTCTGTTGAAACTCCTCTCTGGACACGGATTATGTACTCCTAATAAAAGGAAAAAAAATTAGAAATGAGAACTAATGAGCTGAAGAAATATAAGGCACTCCTTCAAATAAGACAACTAACATTCAAATGCAGAACATTCAGATCCAACACCTTGGGGAAGGTCAGAGCTGGGTTTGCTCAGAGCCATCCCTAACAGTTGCTCTGCTCTGCTTTCCCAGCACAGAAGACAAGGAGAGTTCCAGGATCTTGCACGCCTGTGGGGCACTCAAGTGGTTTCATTTAGTCACAGAAGAAGACAGCAAAAGCATCTCAGCACACATCTCTACCCACAACAGCTGAAGAAACCTCCCTCTTCCCACCTCCAATATCTAACAAGTACCCCCAGGAATTATTGCCACCACCATAACAAAGTAAAATGCCAGTAAATACCTACACCAAAAGTGTCTATTTTCAGAAAGTCAGCCTAACATGGCTCCTCCATATTCTTTCCTCTTACCCATTTGAAATCATAATTATGGTATCTTCCTGCAAAACAAGAAGCCCAAATCCTCATAACTAGTAACATAAATACACAGAGCCGATAACATTTAACCAGAGTAATTATCTTTGGAAACTATGTGACAGAAATCAATTAATGGGACACCTGGAAACCCATATTCATCTCTAATGTGGGTTTCCTTGTTTTGTGACCATTACTGCATTTTGGGAAGAGGCTACTTCACACACAGACAAAAAATTGCAGCAACTGCTTATTCATCAAGTCGCAAAGGAACATTGGCTGTTTCCTGAAAAAACACACCAGTGATGATTCACCATGTGCAGTCATTCATCTTTTCTAGGATTTTGGAAGAAGCTGAGTTATTGCTCAATCTCTAGTAGCACTTGCTCTTTATCCAGTGATTGTCATTTTCTATTAAGCCCCAAGAAAATGCTTCAAGACAGGCAGAACACAAATTCATTAAACAACCATCAAAGGATCTTACTGCACACAACCACACTGGTCAACACGGCTCTTCTGAAGAGCCTCGTGATACACAACTTGGGACACAGAGCTCATTCTCACAGTAAGATTATATTTTTTAAAAACCTTATTTGGGCCACAACTATTTTTCCCCACACGTACTTGAGCATTTTCCCATCCCATCCATATCTGCTTTTGTCACCTAATGCATTAATCAAGTTCCTTTTTTATATTACAGGGTTTGCAACTGGAAAGGGAAGACCAAACACTCTCCAGGTGAGGCCATTAGTTGTGTCTGTAAGGAAGAGCTAAGTCCCCACCACACGCTCTCCATCAGCACTGACCATAATGAATTATTGTCCAACTCAGCACTACCCTGTCAATACAACTAATGAAAAAGCCTAAATGATCTTCTGAGTTGGTGGAGGGGCTTTTTCCCCAAAGCTGGTAATAAGACTGAAAGTCAAAGAACAGTAATAGTAGAAAAGCCAGGATAAGAAACACAATCCCATTCTCAGTATCTGCCATGGCTACACATAATCAGCAGACCACAGAATGCTGAGTTCCAGTGAGAAGTTGATACTTCCTATTGCCTCTGTGTGGCAACAAGCTTGTCGTAGGATTATAATTAGCACACTGATATATGCTTCCCATAGGACCAGAGAAGAGCTTTCAACTCTTCAAGTCTAATTGTATAAATGCCTTTATTACTCTGCCAACTTCTGTTTTAGTTAGGAAAAAAAAACTGAATTACAACAGTCTTCTTCTGAGACAACCTGATAGTGGGACTGCCCATAGGAAATAAATGAAAGCATAAGAAAAACAGAGGCACACTCCGTTTAGCAGCATCTCTGTGTTTAGCAGCATCATCAAACATAGGAAAACAGGGTGGAAATGCCTTCAGAAAAAACTAGTAATTACCAGAGTTCACTCTTGCAAACAATTTTAAGCATCAGCAACCAGGCTCAGGGAGGTCTATGTTAGCTACACTCCTGTACAAATTCCCATGGCATCTTTCACTCCTACATGAATAGCTCAGAATTTTTCCTATGACTCAGTTTACCAAATAACTTCAAAGGAGCCCTAACAGCTGCTGGTTGGGAAAGAAAGGTCTCAGCTTGCAGCAGAGAGACAACCTCCCCCTATGGTTTGCCCACGAGCAGCAAGGTCACTGTCAGCAGGAGCCTCCAACAGGACAAGCCACAAAACCATTCCCAAAACAACCTCCCTGGCTCGCTCCACACAGGTAAGGTTTGTACATCCGCTGCTCCTCCTACCTGTACTGCCAAACCACTTCATGGCACAACCTTGATATTCCTGCAGCAGCTCAAAATACATTTTTAAAGATGCCAAGCAAAGCAGTTTTACTTATGGGATCGTTTCCTGGCTGCTCCAATTAGTCAAAAAAAGCTGAAATAGGTGCTGGGAGGAGGAGGTTGGGAGCAGGGAAATATGTATGACCCCAGCTGCACAGTCATTTCCTAAAATGTTCTTCCTAGTACTACAGAGTTCTGGATAGAGCTTCTGAAAAGGAGTATTTTCCAAATAACCACATGGATCACTGACAACCACACTGCTGATAACAGTTTCACACTCACTGCGTGGGATTAATGTTATCCTGAATTCACCCATTTTCAGGCAGAGCCAAGATCTAGGTGGTTTCATCTCTTGGGGTTTTTTTCTCCCCAAAATTCACCAAGATTAGTCCCTGGTGCTCCAGCAATTATTAAAACATTATCATCAGCAACCCAGAGCTGCTCAGCAAAATTTTGTTAACATTCCTGGGGGAAAATTGCACAGCAAAGCACTCCAAATGTTTAACAATTGCTCTTTATCATCATTCCTAGTTTTTGAAACAGGAAGCAAACCGGAAAGAAGGCTTTTGCAGAGACAAAACAGGGGAAAAAAAAAAAGTGGTGAGTTAAGAGATTCTTATAATGAAATATCTCAACAATATTGGGTAACACATTCTGTTTCCCCAAGCAAATAGTCTCTAAATTTCCAGCTCAGGATAGTCAGTCTCTTTTTCCACAGATTTCTGCTTTACATCTGTTTAATCCAACAGGATTGAAAAGCCAGCCCTTATAAAGATCCAGGTCACCTTCAGGTCACATCAACTAAAAGTTTGAAAGGGCTTTATTTTATAAATAAAATATATATATATTTTATAAAGAGAGGAAAGCCTAATTAAGCATGAATACAATCCCTGCTTAAGTAGGCTGGATTGGAACAATTTCTAGTAAGAAGCTCTTTTAAATGTTTATTTAGAAAATCTCCCATGTGAAAAGTAGCAACAACATCAGGAGAGCTGCTCAGCCTCAGAGGCCTCTCTGTTACAGGGCACAGTATTTATTTGCTATTGCACAGCCTGCCATCAAGCCCATCTGAGGTAGAAGCAGCAGCAGTGGTTGGTGTTTCCCCACTTTCTAAACAATGCAGGTGTGTGTCTGTGCTGCACCATTCACACACTCTATCCCTTCTGTAGTAATGAGCCAGCCATTGACCAAGTGAGAGTTATGAAGTAGGACAACTGCAGGGAAAAAATAGGACACACATTTACATGTAATGAAACTCAGTGAACACAAAAAGCATTGGAGAGAGATGCGAAATTACAGATTTTCAGTGCTCTGCATCACCATGACCTTCACCAGAAAGTCAAATTACTCACCATTTTTGAGGAAATACTCAGTAGCCAACAGAAATATTCTAATTAGGGTTTACTAAAGTACAATATGGAAACTGATATTTTGACTACAATCTTCACAGGACCTACAAATGCAATACTAATTTAGTAAGATCACCAGTGGAAACCATAAGTTTGGAATATTTTAAATTGTCTGACGAAAGAACCATCTTTTGTGAGCTCAGGCTGGAGGAGAGGTGGGAGATAACCAAGTTTACTGACTAAATCCAGGGGAGGAACTGCATTTCTGAAACAAGTGAACTACGACAGTTCCTTGTGTAAACCCATGTCTAAAAGTAACTTCATGTTTGTTTTTGTCCAAAGTGAATGCAGCCTTGAGAAGACTGAATTCCTTGTAAATCTGCAAAATCTTTTACAAGCTTTTAAACTCAACTCTACAATCCTAGAAATACGTGTCTCCATTTTTCTATTTGGAACAATATAGGAAAAATATAAATGCTTTTTCAGCATTTTTCTAATCTAACAGCCATGAGTGTCAACATTCATCATTGCTTAAGGAAAACTAAAAACTCTGAAAGATTGTTAGGAGAGGGATTTATTTCAGCTGTTCATTTCCAAATGCCTTTAAGACAACAATGTACTGTATCAAAGCTGGCTGTTTCACTACTTCAATTTCAAAATATGAAACACATGAAAAAGGAAAATTACTTCAGAAAAGAATTGAGAAATGTTAAGAACATGTACAACTCACCGGTAGTTTTACTGCTGAACAGACTTGCAGGTACAGTTCTTAATAAGGAAAATGTCAAGATTTTCATGGAAGAAAATAGCATCCTATTTTAAGGCTCTAGAAAGAAACCACTATTAAATGGTGAACACAGAGATGAAATATTGCAATATGAGGCAAGTTTAATAGCCAAAATTTATCAAAGCTTTAGTGCTGAAATTGCCTCTGTTGTCAGAACACAACATTTGGCATCAAGATGAGATACTTGCAAATGGCTTAGTATATTGGATGTAATCCTGCTCCTATTGAAATCAAGGAATGCAATAGCAACAAAACTTCATTTTCTACAAAAAGGCTGGTACACAGACCTACAAAGGGACTGACTCATGGCTATGGAAAGGTGCCCAACACACCCCTGGAAGTTCAGGCAGTGCTAGAGGCTGAAGCATAAAGAAGGAGAGAAAATGATGCTGACTGGGCTTGCTCTCGTAATTTCAAATCTATTAGGTGAGATGCCATTGGAATACACCTGCAATATGATTTTTTTTGGCTTTCAAAATGAAAAGGACTCCATAAACACCACGCTATAGAATTAATTGTATTTAATTGCAAATTCCAACAAAAACCAGACTGCTTGTAACACACTTAACCAGGGAAACAACTATTGCAAACATAGAAAGGCATCATTTTGCTCTTCCAATTATGACTGGAAATAAATACACAGAAATAAAACCTCAGTGAACAATTTCTTTGTTGCAATGCAAAAACATTGAGGTTATGTTGCAGCTCAGATGTCCTAAGTCCAGTAAGAACTTCTGAGCTCTTCTGACTTGAACGAAGCATTCTGAGCCTGTGAGCCTATGAGATAATTTGGCAGTTGGCTCCCTAACAATCTAAAAACCCATTTATGGGGGGTTGACATACTCTTACTAAGCAAAAAGTGCAAATCCTCAAATGTCCATTTTCAATAGTAGCTTCATCCCTTCTTAGGTTTCTGGAGAATTCAAGTGAGAACATAGTAATCTCAGGTTTTGTTTTCAGTTTTGTTTTTTTTCAGTTTCACCTTCAGCCTCAGGAAACAGAAACTCAGCCTGTGCCAAGTACAGCCCTTGATTCAATGCTATGGAGTTTACACTTACCCAGTCTGCTGTACTAAATTTAAATTAACAGAAACTGCTTAGAACAATACACAAGCAAACTATTCACTAGACACAAGCTTTGGTCTTCTGTGTGATACTTCACTATGTCTACAGAGCTTTTCCTGAAATTCTTCACCTTTTCCTTAGCTGTTTTTTCAGAAGACTGGCTATTTTCAGCACCAACAGAAGGTTTATATAACTACTAGTTCAGTTGCCATGTTATGTTGCACCTAAACTCGGCCTAAGCCATCTTCATATGAGTGCTTTTAAAAGCTATGATCTACAGGAAAAAAGTACAAACCCAAGTTTAAAACAACACTTGCAACACTAAACGACATTATAAAATCTTAATATATAGTGCTGACAAAAGAATTTTAAAAAATCATGGCTGCCTTTGCTTTAGAACAGGCCTAGTTCTCCAAACATTACTTTGGGATAAAGGATTTTATAGATCTACATCTTTTGAAGATACCACTTTCAGGTGGAATGAGGAACAAAACTAAAAAGCATTCCGTTAATGACAATCTATTTTCTTCTGACTATAATTTAACAAAGCAAAATACACTTTTCAGGCCGCACAAAAACACTTCAACCCTTATTTCTTAGAAGCGCTTCATTCACACACCTCTTCAGAGACAAGGATTTGTTTCTGTGGCTTATTTTGAATCAGGAAAGTTCAAATCAGGGACAGCATCACCCACCAATAAACAAGCTATTCAGACACCAGGGACATAAGATGAAGTATCTGGAATGACAGAATAGTCCACTTACATCAAATAAGAAACCAAGTCTCTATTAATGGCTTCCTGTATTTTGTTATCCCACACTGGCTCTGTATAAACCATCTGTGCTGAACACACTTCAAGCCATCTTTCAGCTATCAACAGGGCTTCTGCAGCAAAACAAACAATTACTAATAGATGTATCTTAGAGACAGATTTTAAATCAAAAGGCACGGTGCTCCAGCATTCTGTTATTAAAAAAAGATCAGAAGCAAACAGTAGAGAATTTTCCAGCACACCCATTAGTAACAGAATACAGAGATGAAAGACGGGGCTATCGCACTCCCTCAGACAAGATGACACAAGAAGGGTCTGGATTGCAAAAGTTCTTCCAAGTGATCATTCTAAAAGAATTTTGTGACTTTTTCTTCTCTAACCAGAATCATGCGAACCAAAGGAAAGAACACAAAGCGCTATTGTCATTTGCACTAACAAAAAAGCATAATAAGGAACAAGCTACTAACGAAACATAATCTGGTCTGCTAGGGAGTATTAGGAGTTACACAACTTCTCACAGGACTTGGCACACCCACCCTTCAGCTATTGAAACAGGTAAAAAGCATCACACTTGCCAGGAAATAAACGTCTTTAGTGTTAATTATAAGAGGAGTTGCACCAATTGAGAGCCACAGCCTGCTAGATTCACAAGACCTCCTAGACAATTTCTCATTGGTAACTTCTGTTCAGAGAAAGACTGGAACATCAATAAATGCGAGTTCCTCAGACAAAAAATAAACCATTTCTTAGGTGTGAATTATTTCTATGAAGAGTATTTAATAAGACGGTCCGTAAATTAGTGTATACCCCACGGTGAACCTGCAGTTATTGTCATTCAGGTTAGAGGTATGCAAGGAACCAGGAAGCAACCCACAATGCAGGAATCAGAGCTGTGTAAGGGACATAAGGAAACACTCTCTCCATTTAAAGCAACCTTCCCACTGGAGAACCTGCTGCTGAAAGTACCTCTGGCCTCTTCTCCAGCATCCCTGCTCTCAGTTAGAGCAGGAATCAGAAATGACAGCCTGATTCACACTACTGCTTGGTCATACTATAATGAAACCCAGTTTTGGAAGTGGAAAATAACTGCAAAGAGGACATTACAGAATTTGAATTACTACTGCAGGCTCAAAGACAGTTCTTATGGAAGCACAGTGCATGTGTCCTAGGCATCCAAAAGAATTAATGTGTGACACCCAAGTGACGGCAGGGCTTGTTCTGCTGAGTGCCCCCGCTCCGCACAGCTCAGGAATGGGGCTGGGGCTGCGGGGTCTCTGCGCTGCACAGCCTCCGCTCGGCCACACGGCAGGACCCGGAGGCAAACGCAGCCCGTTCACGTGTAACTTCATCACAGCCACCGCAGCCAGAGCCCATCTCTGCTCCAGAGGCTGCAGCACCCCGAGGAAAGCAGGAATGGCAGCAACCCGCAGGGCCTGGTCCGGAGGGACGCGAGGCAGCGCGAACCCCGCAGAGCCGTCCCCGCAGAGCCCGGCGGTCCCTCCGGGGGTGCTGCCGGCTGCTCCCGGGAACCCCGCGGACACAGAGCGGGGAAGGAGCCGAGCCAGCAGCGGCAGCCCGCACCCCACCGAGGGGCTCCGGGGCGCTGCGACCCGCGCTGCGAGGTCGCGGCCCCGCTGCCCCCCGCACCGCTTCCCCTCGCCCCCAGCCCACCCCGCACCCCCCGCCGCACCCCCCGCCGCCCGCACCCCCGGCCCCGCTGCCGCGGGCTCGCCTCCGGCCCCCGCCCAGCCCCGCTCCCGCCCTGCCCCGGCCGGCCCCGCCAACCCCGAGCACCCCCCGGCGCCCCCGGTACCGGCTCCGTCCATTCCCTCCCCCGCCCCGGCCGCTCCCGCCTGCCCCCGCGGCCCGGCCTGCCCCGCTCACCGTGTGCGAGTGCAGGCTCTGGCTCGCCTCGATCTGCGCTGTCAGCGGCACCGTATCGTCCAGCAGCACCTTGCCGGCCGGCGGCTTCTCCATGAAGGCCATAGCTGAGATGGGAGCGGAGAACCGGCGCCGCCAACCCGCTTCCCGGGGCAGCTCCCGGCGCGGCCGCCGCTGTCAACACGGCAGCGCCGCCGCCGCCGCGGGGCCTCAGCGCCGCCGCCCGCCGCTGCCGCCGCCCGCCGCCAGGCGGCGCCACGGCCGCCACTCCGGGCGGGTCCCGCCCCGGGAGCGCGGGACAGGGAGGGATGGGGACACGGCGGGATGGGGACACGGCGGGATGGGGGACACGGCCGGGATGGGGACACGGCGGGATGGGGACACGGCCGGGATGGGGACACGGAGAGCACAGGGGACACGGCGGGATGGGGACACGGCGGGATGGGGACACGGCGGGATGGGGGGACACGGAGAGCATAGGGGATACGGCGGGATGGGGGACACGGCGGGATGGGGACACGGAGAGCACAGGGGACACGACCGGGATGGGGGACACAGAGAGGACAAGGGACACGGCCGGGATGGGGACACGGCGGGATGGGGGACACGGAAAGCATAGGGGACACGGCGGGATGGGGACACGGCCGGGATGGGGGACACGGAGAGCACAGGGGACACGGCGGGGATGGGGGGACACAGAGAGGACAAGGGACACGGCGGGATGGGGACACGGAGAGCACAGGGGACACAGCCGGGATGGGGACACGGCCAGGATGGGGTACACGAGGAGGTTCGTCTCCGCGGGCAATAACGGGAAAAGGGGCTGGAGGGAGGCCATGAGTGCAGGCAAGTCGCCTCTCTGCCCAAGCTTTCCACGCCTGGTGCCCCCGGTAACACCGACAGCGGCAATAGCAGCTGCCGCCCCGGGGAATCAGCCCGGAGACACTGCTGGTCCTCCCAGAGAGACCAGGAAAATTGTAAGGGCTGATGCACTTGCTGCTCTTTACCTTTCAGGGTGTTTTGTGTTAATAAAATAATCAGAATATCCTGTATATTTTACTAAATGTCTAGAATTTAGGGTTTGGAGTCAATATTTTGTGGGGTTTTGGTTTTTGGTTTGGTTGTTTTTCAAAACACAGATTTAAAGTTGTTAACAATTGAATTCCTCAGCATGACTTTGATTGCAGTAGCGTAAGAAACTTTCTATTTGAATACTACTTAGTGCTTGAGAACCTACAAGTTGGACACCTGTCTGCATTTCCTCTTTTTACACCATACACAGGAATTACTCTCACTTAAGATGTTGTCAGACTGCAGAGCTGGAGTTTGTCACACACCTGGAGCAGATGTCATGAACAGCTTCATCTCTCTGTCTTGCAGCTCCACGATGAGGAAAATTAGCTGTGTTGCTGTGGTTCAGCAACCAGGCTGGAACAGCAACCCCAGCTCCCCAAACTACTCCTCCTGCAGTGACCCAGGAGGTCAGGCACAGATCTGATTCATTTTGTTAATAGACAACTTCCCACCTGGAGAGGGAGTGGAACAAGGAGCAGGGTAAGGAGGGGGCCTACTTTGATGAAGTGCTTTGTCCAGCAAAAGCGAGTGACAGGCAGTGACCTGAGGCAGAAAGGAAGGAAACAGAAAGTGAAACAGCTCCCACAGACAAGAGATAAGGAAACCTCTTCCTAATTACTGCTTCCAGGTTGCAACCAAGCCAAACTCCAAGCTTTAGAAAGAGAAGGCATGGAGTCAAACACCTGAAACATTACACCTCCCTCTGCTCCAGTGTGACTAATACCTGGTTTAGAGTGCAGCACTCTGGCCGTGCAGCTGTTTTACCAGTAGCTTTCATCACAGGTTGAGGAGAAACTCTCTTTTCTTAGCAGACAACTTCTGAGGTTATTTGCAGTCAAGGAATTTCAAATGCATTTCTGCTGCAGAGAAGATGGGGGATAACAGACGCTTTGCCAGAAAGTTATATGAGCCACCAACTGAACACCTTACCCCTGATGGCCTCAATCTTTCTGAAAACAAGTTTTTTAGTGTATAACAACCTTATGACAGTACTAAAATAATTTAACCCAGATGATTTACTAATGAATTTGCCAGAAGTCTACTCTACCAAGTGTAGACTTTCAGTGGACAAAGGGAAATCTATGTTCACACACTCAAAGACAGGGAAGCCATACAGTTAGTACTCAAATCATCTGCCCTTGCTTGTCTTGCCCTCAGAAGAACAAATACAGTAAGTACATGTTGTGACAATTTATTTTTTGGGGTAATTTTTTTTCCTTCACTCTCTTTCTGGGAGGCAAGTTTCAGAAGAAACACCAGTTGGAGCTGCCATGCAGATTACAACACATCTTGCAGTACATGTGTGTCAGCACCTCCACTTCTGTTCCGCTTTTGAACACAGCACAGTCCCCTCCCCTGGTGCTTGTTGGCAGTACAGCTGCTTTGTACAGAAGGAACAAGTTTTAACTGAACTTTGCTGGTGTGGACTGCAACTTTACCAGAAAGAACAGCCGCAGTGTGAGTCCCACCAGTCCAAACTTCCCACTGTGACGGCACAAAGGCTTGTCTGAATGTGCCACTTTGTCCCAGCAAGTGCCTAGTTCACCTTGGCAGACAAACCCATCACAGTGAAAAAAGGAAAAGCTCTGATTTTAATGCAGCTCTAGTAAGGTCAAGTTTGTGAACTTTCAGACATTGTGAAAGGCTTTTGTTAGGAATTTACTGGTTTAAGTGATGTCACATAAAAAGAGACTCAAAATCAAGTGTACATTGATTCTGGCCTTTATGCTGAAGTTGCACATGAGGAACAGCTCTAACTCTCTGGCACCATGACTTTCACCATCCCTTCCATAACAGTTTTCCCACTTTCTCTGACCTGACACGATACAGAAATGTGTGCAACAGAACCCTTCAGTCGTTTCACTTCTGCTGCAGCTGTGACTTCTTCACCAACATACAAAGGAGCTGGAAAACGAATCTCCTGGGAAAGAAATATACATCCTTGACCAGGCATTTTGGTACCCAGAACTGCAGAAATAAGTCCATTGATCAGAACTCCATGTACAACAGTTCTCCCAAACCTAGACTTCTGTGCAAACTCTTCATTTAAATGCAAAGGATTTGTGTCACCTGTTAAATAAGAAAAGGTAACTACATCATTCTGTGTAAAAGCCTTACTAAGTTCAGCTTTGTCTCCAACTTTTACATGTAAGTTCTGAAATACAGGATGTCCAAGCAGTGAGTTGATAAATGTTGGCTTTGTCAGGGCTCTTTGTTGGAAAATCCCTCCAGAAATTCCACGCCTGAAGGGCCACAACATTTCCAGGAACTTCTCCTGCATGCAGCTGAACCAACAACTGCATTCAGTCCAAGGCTAATTCTCTACTGTTGCCAGATAACGCAAGTAGAAACGGAGATGTCTAGTTTGGGGAAAGAAAAAACAAACAAGAACTGAACAACTAAAGCCTTAAAAAACCCACCATTAAATACGCTCAAAATTGAAAATATTTCAATTTTCCTTTCACATGATAGATTAAAAACTAAGAGCTATGCCTGAGCACACTTTTGTCTAGCCATGGCTTCAGAAACAAAGAATTCTCAGAACTCATTTTATTAAGCAGCATCCTCTGGAAAAAAATAAGCTCTGGAAGTGCATGTTCATACATGCATTGTTAAACAAGGTCAATTAACAGTAACCATTAGAAAGGCAGAAAGTAGAGTAGGGAAAATAAAACCTGAACCAAGATGTGGGTCATGAACACTTGCCAGAAATTATTTTCTTGCAAAAGTATAGATGACATCTGGCCTTGTTACTGGAGTGAAACCATCAAGTTATGAGACAGCCACTACTGTCACATTGTACAAGACTGATTTTAAGATGAGAACTGCTCAAACATGGGCCCACACAACTGCACTGAAAGGCACTTCTTCCCCAAACCAAGGCATTTTTGCATCTAGGCCATCCTTCTATGAAAAGGCAGTAGGCCTAGGCAGCCTGCCAAGCTTAGAGCCAGAGCTGACATTAGGGGGAAGGCAGCCAGCCCCACAGGGCTTTACCTGCAGCACCCGGAAGGCACACCTCCTGTTCTGGTAGAAGCCCAGCAAGGTTAGAGCACTCCACAGCTTGACAAGGCCACTAAATAAAAAGAAAACAAAATATATTAATAAAATCTGGGGGTTTTCTGTTTTCCTGCAGCACAGACATCTCAAACAGAAAGTATGTTATGCAAAGAGTAACAAGCCCTTTACCGTTTAACAGCAGGTAATTTCACTGAAGAGTTCTTGTAGCAAAACTGCATCTTGAAGGATTATTGCAGACTCTGTTCTTTAACACAGAGATATGTACTGCAACCTCAAGTTCACTTTACCAGAACCATTCTTGTTCTCAGTGTGCATTTAAGCTCATTCTGCACCTAAATCACCTGCAGGTGTCATCACCATTTAGAGTAACTGTTCTCATCTTTGCTATAGAAAGAGATTTAAAGTCACTACCTCAGTAATGCTTACTTCCTGACTTAAAACCATTAAAATCATTCTGGTTTAAAGCAGGAATAATGTACTAATGCACGAAGTCACCAAGACTCAGTGATTATTTTCTGCATGCAGAATGCAAATATCTGCAAGTTAGGTTTAATTCTTCACAAGCCATTCTTAGTTTAAGAGTTCTATTTTCTTATGAAAAATACTTTCATGGCATGGAAGCACATACTGACTGCACCTTACCTGCTAATTACTCTTAATATGGCAGACAGAGATTTTTCCTCATACGTTAGGACATCAACAGGCAAAGCTGCTCCAACCTATGAAAGAAAAAGATATTCAGTATCACCCCATGTTCTTATCGTGGTTTATATGCAATTGATTTCACCCCCAGCATGTTACATCATTAAAGGTGTTGTAGTTATGGTCAAATCTCACAAAAGTGTTTCAGTTACAACACCACTGCATTTTAAACAGAATCCTTCCTCTCTGAGTTCTTTAGAAACCACTTTTATTTCCACCTTACAACCAGAGAAACACAGACCAAGAGGTGATATGACCTGCTTAAAATGAACCAGCAATAAAGTAAACTGAGGAAAAACAGTGCTGTGGACTCTCCAATCCAAAAAGCTGCTCCCTTCCCACAGTTCTGTTTTTAAAGCCTCTCTACAGCAAAAGCATCAACACCACAAATTCTAGAAGCAAGTATCAAAGAACGGTTTGAGCTGGAAAGCACCTCAGAGGGGCTTTCACTCAGCAGAGAGGAACTCAGCACAGAGCTCACCCCGCTCCAGCTCCCTGCCATGGTCGGGCCAGGCTGCTCCGAGTCCGGTCCAACCCGACCCTGAGCACTGCCAGGGACGCCTGAAGCCGCCTGACCGCGGGCACCGAACCGAACCGCACCGCACAGCCGCACCAGGAGCGAGCCGGGACGGGGGCGGCGAGCGGGTACCGGGTACCGGAGGGTCAAACCCAGCCCATGCACCCGCCCCGCCGGGACACCGCTCCGCAGCCACAGCGCCTTCCAGGGGACAGCAGAGGGCAGAGCCAGCCCCGGCCCAGCCCGGAGCCGCCCGCCGAGCACAGCCCCGGTCCCGGTCCCGATGCCGGTCCCACCTCTCCGTGCAGCTCCCTCAGCGCTGTCACCACGAGCTGCTTGAACTGCGCGGCGTTCGGCCGGGCCCCGCCGTCGGGCAGCTCCCTGCGGGACGGAGAGCACAGGGTCAGGAGGAGTGAGGAAGGGTCTGGGGGGGCTGGGGGGTCCCGGTTGGGGGTCCCGGTTCGGGGGTGCCGCTCACAGGCGCACGCGCAGATAGTGATGCTCGGCCGCGCGCCGCAGCACGCGCCGCTCGAACGCGGCCGCCGCCATTCCCCGCCCCGCCGGGCCGCGCGCGCCGCCCGCCCGCCCCGTCTACGGCGGCCGCGCGGGGTCAGTATCACCATGGCAACCGCGCGGCGCCCGGAACCGGAGCCGGGCCCGCTGCACCGAGCCCCGGGCCCGAACGCGCCGTGCACGGAGCAGAGCGAGAGCAGTGTCTGAGAGCTATCTCCGGGAAGCGGCGGGGACAGCCAGCGCTGCCCTGAGGCACACACGGAGCGCCGCAGCGGGCCGGCACACAGGAACGCTCCCGCGCTCGTCCTCCAAGCACGGGTGTCGGTCCCGAGGCAGCTCCCGGTAAAGGTGGCTCCTGGTACCAGGTACAAACACCGAAGAGACTCTGCTGCCCAGCCTCCGTTCTGCAGGGACACACAGCTGAAACGACCTGGAGACGTGCACAGAACGAGCCTGGCAGCCTGTGTTTGCACTAATTGGGATGATAACACCATTTTAGTATCTTGTACCTGCTCTATAAAGATTGGCATTAAATGTATCCTTACCACAGAAACAGCAGAAAGGATGGAAATACGTTTGCTCTGCTGAAGTAATTACACATTATCCTCCAAAGAACTTCACAGAATCTTATTTGTTTTACCAGCAGGCTCATCCAGGAATTAGCATCGAGCCCAGCAGGGAAACACTGCAGTAGCCCAATGCACATCTGACAGGCTGGAGCCAACCCGACCCACGAGACACCCTTTGCCTGCACCTTCCCACGGCTCAGTCCGTGCAAAGGCCCTGCAGTGTTACAGCAGAGTTTTCTAAAGCTTAGCACCACAATCCACCTGAGCTCCACTCCTGGGCTGACTTAAAAATGGTACATGAACTGCTGAGCGTTCAGAAACAGAACTTCAGCCGAAGCAAATATAATTTCACATGTACCAAAGTAATTTTCAGATTGTTAGTTAAGTTAAAGAAAAGGCAATTTGCCACATAAAATTCAATAGCTGTAAGTGCAGGCTAACAAGATACCTTCAGAAATACTGTGTTTCTCTGGGAACTGAGAACCAGTTAGTGTAGTGCTCAATAAATCAGTTCCACAATAATTTGGCAGATTTATCAGAGCAGCCAGTTTTACTGGGACCAACACTACCTACAGAAGCTGGTATTACTTTTAAGATATTAGTAAAATTTCATCACCACACAGCAAAAGTTGGGAGATCAGGTGCTGTATAAATTTTTTGTTGTTATTGCAGTAGGGCAGGTGCTGCTCTCCATGAGGCTCTGGCAAGAGGAACTCACTCAGGCATTCCAAGTGTATCCAGGGAGCTGCTGTAAGGCTGGGGGCTGTGTCAGCTGCAGTGAGTCAATAACGAGCACACACAGGACTCTACAGGAAGGCTGGACACAACAGGTCAGTTTTTTATTAACCAAAAGTGAAGCTGAACCCCAGAGTGGTTTAACTTGTTAAAACCATATGTTTATATGGCAGATATTTTCCTTTCATGTTCAACACTACAGTGCAAGAACCAAACTTCTCAGCTGTTCATCCTTTGAGAATCAAGTAGTAAAATGAATTAAAATAAGGGTCCCTCAATGAATCAGTTAAAAAAAAGCCATTTAACTCAAAAGAACAGACCAATTTTAAGAACTATCTTATTAAGTCTCCCAAGTGAAAGACCTTTAAAAGCACTTGGAGCCTTGAGGTAGCAACTTTATGCAGAATTTAATTCCCCTCCTGCCCCACAGAGGAAAATTAGTAGCGCATTATTAGCTCCAGCCAGCTAAGCTGTGTTGAGTGGCTCCTGTGAGGTGACTTTCTCTTGCCTCTTGAAATAGCAGTGTAGTGCTGCAGAGCACCAGGAGGAAATCCACAGGGAAGGCCTCTTGAAATAAAATTTATGGTTTGAAAAAAGTTAAAATGATCAGTAACAATTGTAACAACAAAAATTATCTGAAGTGAAAAAACCCAACGTGTATTTTGGCAAGACTAGTTTACAAATACAAGTCAAGAACAAGAGTCTGCTTTCAGCAAAAGAAAGAATGGAAGTGACATTCAAAGGGGTTTCAGGGTTTTTTCCCCTCTGTGCAAAATTGCACTTTGTTATCTAAGTTTTTATTTTAAGTTTTGCACTTTTGTTTCTAAGAAAGGAGCACTTCCACACCTTTTTGTTCTTTTACATTGTTAAACCTGTGCTGTGACATTAGACAGAAATATTAAGTGCCAGGATATTTAACCACTCAAAGCTCCTCTCACTGACTTCACAACAATCACAAGCAAGGAATCACAAACAGGACATGTCTTCCTCTAAGCCTCGAAAACATGATCCTCTGTGCCCACTTTGCTGCTGAGTTGTTTTATTAAAAACTAGATCTCTCTTCAGTGCCAATTTCAGAGACTCAGTGGCAGATTTACTGAACACTGAGCGTTAACCAAACACCTGGGCTTACTCTCAATGCAACAACTGCAATGAACAGAGTGCAAAGGAACAAGCTGAGATACAGGGATGGGGCAGATGGCCACAAACAGGTGCTGTACTTGCTCCCTGGACTCAGTATCAGCACTTGCACATAGCCCACTTTTGCTCACTGCTGGTGTTCTAACCAGATTCCTGGCAATACTGAGTATCTTACTAAAGAAGCTTTCTTTCCACTACCTTCATGCTCCAAAACTGTACAAAATGGTTGCTTAAACTAGACCAAACGAATCAGGCACATTGCACATTATAGTTCTTAAATGGATGAGCCTTCTTAGCAGCTCATTCTTTCAGCTCAAAGCCAGCTGCCTCTCTACACCACAGAGTGATGCTGCACAGACCCTGGATGCAGGATGGCACTGCCCAGTATGCCATTGCTCCAGGGAGCCCAGAGAAAGATAAAACTTCAAAAGCCTGTTCTTGTTCACATGGGATCGCAATGTTTTGTACATTTTTGTCTTTTCCTTTGACTTTTAGAAGCCATCACATTCTGCCTTTGAGGCAGAAATATCTCAAGAATCTGACATCAGCCTTGCCTGGATTTCAGTTAAGATTTGGGCAACTGCCTGTGTTTGCCTGTGCTGAGGTTACAGTCCTGTCCTGCACAGAACCAGAATCCATCTGTAAGGCAGCCCAACCTGCCAGGCTCCCCTGGATAAAGGAGAGGATATTCTGCCTGGGAGCAGCAAAGGCCAGCTGGTGATTATTCACAGCAAATTTCAGTTCACATGACAGTTTAGACAGCACAGAAATTCAGGCTGGTTCAGAGACCAATTCCTGTTTGGTTCACAGGCCAGTCATGAGCTGGTTTCAGAAACTCTCTTTGTCATGGAGCCCCAAGTATCTTAAAGTTATATCTGCTATCACTGCAAGGAGCTGATGAGTGGAGATTTTTTCTGTTTTTTTTCTTCTTTTTTGGTTGGCTTGGTTTGGGTTTTGTTTGGTTTTTTAAATACTGTGATGAAAACAATTATATTTGTCTTTGGTGTTAAACCTTGGAAGCATGAGTGAAAAGTACCTGCTGCTTCTTTGGCTGTAATTTATGACAAAGAAACAGCCCAGGAAAGCAAGTGAAATTCACTGTTCTAAAATACATGCAGTTAGAACAGCCACTAGACATCACGACCAGAACTTTAATAATATGGAAACACCAAATTCAGTGGTGTCCATTACAAATCATTTGCATTATATAAAAATATGACTGCAATTACAGTAACTGGACAACAGTCATTCAAATTCATCAACTTTCCATCTTACTCATATTGCAGGAAATGGGAGGAGCTCATCCACTATGGGGGAGAAACTGTCCAGAAATCAACTTAAGAGTTGCTGCTAAGCATCTCATGCCTTAGAGAAATGTCCACTGTGATAACTAAAAGCAGGAATTCAAGATTAGCATCCTTCCATTCTTGCTTACATGGCCATGAATAAAAAGAGCAAGTTCTATTACACTAGTATTCACTATTAAAATTTTATAACCCCATAAAACACCAATATGTTTTGCATGAGCTGTGGAAGAATGCAAACTCAAAGGGTCATAGATTTAAAACCTCCAAATTCAATATCTTAATATATATAGTCTGCTTGAACACCGTAAAAATGTCCTCCTCGTGGTCTGATTCTTATTTAGATAATACCCTGGTAAAATCTCAGCCATATGCCAATTAAGGTCCTTAAAGCTATAGAAACAGAATCTACCTAATAAATGCTGCAAATTTAACAGGTATTTTAGATAAACATCATTAGCTTAGTTATCACCTAAACCAAAAAGACTCCTCAAACACACCAACTGCGTAGTTAGCAAAAGATATTTGCTTTACAAAGTCAAATGTTGCCAACTTTTGAAAACTTTAGCAAATCAACGTGGTATTTGGAAGCATTCAAGTGTCTAATGAAGTTAAAATACTGTGAAATGTTAGGACTAGGGGAAGCTCCTGTAAACAAGTACAGAAGTAGTCTTCATTTAAATTACAAAACATTCACCTCCTTAAAAAGCTTTAAAACTGACCCAGTCAACAACTGCACCCTGGGAAATGTAGCAGTATAAAGGATCTCTGTAAGCAAGAGAAGGTCATATATTGTTATCTCACCACCACAAAATGTACTCAGTGTCAGGAACAAGGAGCAAATTTGGGGAGATAACAATTACGACACTTTCAGGCCATTTGATCTGAACCACTGCACTTTGTTGGACAGCATAGAGTAAATCAATTTTCTTTGCTGCTCAGAAAACACTTAAAATACGTTTTCTGCATCTGGTTGCTAAGCAGACTCTCCCATGTCCCCAGCTCAGTTTACTTGGTTTAAAGAGTTCTCTGTATTTATTACCTGCTGCTTTCAGCAGGTGGACCAAAACTTCAGTGCCACCTTATTCATTGGCTCCATTGATACTTTAACTTCAAACCCAGATGCTACAATTAAAAGCAAATTTGACATTGTGTAAGGAAAGCATCAGATGAAGGTAATCAGCCCATAAAAGGCTTGTATTCCACAGGCTGCCTCTGCAGAACAGGCAGCCTCCCTCTACAGAATCTGAAGGGACAATTTACCCCAACAGTAACACCAGGAAGAAAGGAGGCTTCTATGTCTTGCACACTTTGGGTTTCGTATCAGGCACTTGAACTGTTGGACAGACGCCATTCTGAACCAAGTAAGTGAACATAGGGTTAGAATCATCTTTAATCTAGGTCTAATAATGAAGTATCAGCAGCAAAGTGGAGGCAGGGAGGAGTGAGCAATCCATCTGTGCTGAGACTTGTTTATGGTTTCTAAAATGCCCAAGAAAACAGCAGCAGTAACTGTTCCGTAGTGTCCGTTGTCCTTGTGAGTTGTGTTGCTGATAGGAAGGAGGCTTTTCTGTGTCTTGAACTAAGAAGGCATTGAGGTACCCTGTGCCTAATTCCCTGGATCCATCAGGTCCATGCTAGAGCCAAACATTGCCACCAGTTGCTCCTCGTAATGTGTTATATTCCTCTTCATAATGTCCATGCAGGGTCCAAGCAACCTCTCAAATGCTTGCACATCCATGACTGTAATGGAACAGAGGTGAAAACAAGACTGTTTGTCAAAAAGGACACCAAATACCAGTCTGGCTTATGAACTCAGAACACAGACCTTCAGTTCAACCCACTTAGGGCTGCGGCTTCATAAGAAACCACAGAAACAGAAATCATGTTTCTGATTTCTCTCTCTACTGTTATTTGAGAAACAAGATTAATGAAATACAAAGATAAACACAGAAGCCAAATACACGCCACAGATGACCTGAAGGCTATGTGTGACAAACAAGTACAGGCCACACACATAGAAAACAGAAAATCAGCCATGAGGAAGCAGCAGTGCTTCTCCAGCTTCCACTTGGAGTTCCACTCCAGCCCGTGATCCCAGCTTCAGGAATCTGACTGCCAGTTACCAAAAGGTTGCTGGGTTTTGAATGGCTGCTCACTTAAGCATGGTCCATGAGACAAGCAAAGAACAGAAAAGGATGACTAGAAACACAGACCATCTGCTTACCTAAACATTTGACCTCCCCAACAGCATAGGCAGAGGCTGCTCTGGGTTTGTTGGTAACAAGTGCAAGCTCTCCAAAATACTGCCCTCTGTGACACCGGGCAATCTCCACTTCTTGATTAGCCTCTTTACTCGTCATAGTCTGTCAAACAGTGCAGTTTCATTATTTGCACACAGCTTTGTCCTTGTACAAGCCTACAGTTAATAATCCCGGATACTTTACACATGTGCAACAGCTCCATGGTTTCAGGCCTTCAAACTAGTGACTCCCAAGTCATGGCAGAACGCCTCAACACCATGTTCAACTGGAAGTTTGGTAAGAAAAATGTGTGCCAGTCCACAAGTCTTGAGACAAACAGGTATCTACTGCTACAGCTTTGGGAACTGCTGTTACGTAGCCTAAGGCAGGCTTTATCATGCACCACACGCTGTTCCCCTGGCTGCTTCAGACTGTACTGAGACCCATGCAAATGCCAACATCAAATATGTCACTGAAGATAACAGACCCCACACTTTGTAATGTGCAGTCTCTACAATCATGGAAGGAAAGTTTTATCTCCACCCTTAAGGCCAGGGAAAGTGTATCAGTGTGGGAAGGGATGGGATGAGCTGCTGGCTCTCTCAGTCTCTCATGTATCATGTCAGTTTGCAGAGTAGCAGACAGAAGCAAAAGACCTTGGTACTTAGTAAAATGACTTCTGGCTGCTGCAGAACAGGTATGGGAGTCTACAACCTACATCACACGAACAACTATGATCAACATCATAAAACAATATGTTACAATAACTCAGGGTGGGGCTTTTTCACATCTCCTGTATTATTCAGTCAAATCAGGGATTGATTAATACAAAGCCTAATCACTCAATTTGAACTCACCTTGCTTTTAATCAAGATTTTTACTTCTCCAGATTCTACAATGTAAAAACAGTCTGCTTTGTCACCCTGTGAAGAAGAAAAGCTAAAATAAATTCTTTTTTACTTGACTGTGAAAGTATGCATAAATGGTATTAAAGCACTCACTTCGAACTAGGCCTTCTGCAGAAATCTGTTAGAATTGACAAACAATCAGATTCTTAACATTAAAAGTGGCTGGTTGGGTAATAACACCAGAGGAGCCCAGAGGGAAGGAAGTATTAGTGCACATCATTCAGTAAGGGGGCAGGAGGAAAGGAAAACACAAAGGAGATTGATGATATATAGCAAAATCACCTAAATGAAAATCTTCTGATCCCGATGAAAGTAGGCAATAGTTAGTGAAACTAAGCAGAACCTAGAATTTTCAGAAGCAAATTTTAATAAAAGAGGGATTGAGTGACTGTTTCTTTCAGCAGGAAGAAGGTGCCATTAAACTCTCCCTGGCCCTGCTTGAGCAGAGGGGTTGGACAAGGTGACTTCCAGGGGTCCCTTCCAACCTCAACTATTTTGTCATTCTGTGAGAGGTTCTAGAACATTTTTCACATCTCCCTCAGCTTCATCATGTTTAAAATCTTCAAGTAACCCCAGTTAACATCTGCTCTGGAGAGCTTCACCAGCACTTCATAATTTTAAAGTTTATCTGTGACAGAAAGGACCTCTCTTCCTTGTATTTGCCCCTGTAGGCCTGGCATAGGGCTGGAAGTCAGAGTGGAGGTGTGCAACGTGCCTCCTGCTACAAACCAAAAGCAAAGGACTAAAGGCTTCGGGGAGACAAAGGCTGGAAAAGGAACTGATAAGGGAATGGGAGCAGCTCACCAAAAAAACCTGAAACATAGTGAGGAGAGAGAGAAATCTGACATTATTGTCAAGTGGTCAAGGAGATGAATGTGATGGGAAGGATGGAGAGAAATGGTTGTAACTTGAATATGAAACATGGGCTGGGAGAAGATGATGCAAGATTTAA